CCGTATTTGTGTAAGTTTGCTTGGGTGCGTTTTGGGGCATGCCTGTATCTATACATGTTTATCCGAGATTGCAATAATTGAAGATAATTAGGTGTTTTAATAATTTTGACTCAAGGAAACTTTATATAATGTTTTCAAGATGAACTAACAAATGGTGTTCAGTCATGCATAGTCTTTCCCGCTACTTCCATCTGTATCTGTCAAGTGTGGAGAATAACTAACAATTGGTGTTCAGTTGTTTTTACCCTCGCTTGAATTATCTGTTTTTGCAAGTTAGTTTTATTGCTTTTTGTCGTCTTTGAATGCAGTGAGTCTTTCTATTTTTAATGGTTGCTTGAATGCTGTTTTACTTTCTAAATTAAGATTTTCTTTGTGCCACTCTCAAGTTTTCTCAGAAATACTCCAACTTTCCTATAGTTCTGATAATTAGATTGAGTTTGTGGCTTGTGGCACTAATTGCTATGTGGCATGTGCTGGGATTTTAGAGTTCTTTCTTCCCTTTTGATCTGTTGAAAATGTTATAAGGCTATGGCGTACAAGTGCAACTACAATATTGACATTCCATGTCCAGAATTAACTGTTTTGCTAGAAGCATGGGTTTAATCATAGTAAATGTTGGCTTAAATCCTTAATTCAATTTGTCTTGTTATGCTTGCAGGTAGACTGCTTTCATGTGCTGCGGAAGAGTGATCCTCCGTTTGTCCCTTCAGCAATATTTATCAAGCAAGGGCTTGCTCCATTTGTGAGTCACTTGTATATTTATTCATATAATTGTGTTAAGGTTTGAGTACGGGTTTATAAGTGTTTGCTGCTGCAGATCTTTCCCGATTCATTGCTTATTCTTGTAGTTCTAGACGCGTGTCATAGACAGAGGCCCTGTAAAGGGGTGCCACCTTATGTGGGGTTTAGCTTTTAAGTTCCCTGGAGTCTGCCAAAAAACTTTGAACAAATATTGAAGTGTTTCTTCAATGAACCACTGTTTTAAGCAGTTGGTAAGTTTCTTTACAGGATGCAAAGGGAGGGATAGGGTCAAACTGTTGTGGGAAATATAAAGTTTCTGTTGCCGAATTGTGCAATAAATATTGAGAAAGAGAAGCTTCAGTGTATCCCACAAGAAGTTGACTCCTTCTAATGTCGAAACTGTTGAACCATGTCCTGTCATCCATAATTTAGTTGTTTTTGCCATCGATATTCCGGTATCTTCTCACATAAGTGAACTTGAAAATTTGCAACTTCCTTTAACTGGAGTTTGCCAGCTTTTATGACCTACCTGCTCTTTCAAACTGGAAAATGTACCTTATGCAACTTGCACATATTGCTGAGGATTCCCTAGCAGTAACTTCTGTTTACAGTTACAGTTAGTAATCAGTTCTTATCATTCTTTCCTACAATGCCACACCAACAATTGAGCTTAATTTATGTGGAATAAGCTTTTCCATGAGTTCTGACTTCTCCTTTTCTTTAAAATGCAAATTTCGGGTGGGTTTGTGCTTAGGTAGAAAGATGCACAAGCTCACTACTCTCAGCCAAATTGTAGGATATCCAGAGATTCCCTATTTTGTTATGCTTCTGGCTCTCTTGTTTTCTGTGAACATTAGGGGACTGGATATTGATAATTAATATTTTGTTGAACTTTTGTAGCTGTTTGAAATGCTCCTGTGAAGTCAATCCAGGTTGCTATTTCAGGCGGGGTTAATGGTTCAAACATCATGGTGGATTCACTCTTTTTTGTTCATGATTGAGTTCATTGATGATCTTCATGCATATTTTTACTGCACCTATCATTCATAACTTAATGCTCCACCGGGCATAGACTAAAAAAATGGTGTTTTGCTCTTCTTTGGTTCATCTTCGTTCTAGTCTCTGATTAGTGCTGTGATAGCAATGTCTTCCACAGTTATCAAACCCTCTTTTTCTTTATTTTTTCAAGGACATCGGTGTTTATAATTGGCTATTCTCTATCCTCAGGTGACTTTTGTGGTTAGCCACTTCAATGACCCGAGAATACTGAGTGCAGACCTCAGGGATCTTCTTCTGCAGTCGATATCAGTGCTTGTACAATACAAGGAACATGTGGCAATTTTTGAGACCAATAGGACAGCCACTCAGATACTGCCAAGATCATTGTTGTCTGCTTTTGATAACAGATCTTGGATACCAGTGACCAACATTCTTCTGCGATTGTGCAAGGGCTCTCTGTTTGGATCTCCGAAGCATGGAGAATCATCATCGTCATCATCAGTGGTCTTCCAGGTGAATTAAGCTTTCTTTTTTCGTTTCTTTGTCATATTAATTACTTGGCAGCCATAGTTCAATTCTCTTGATTGGTTGTCTTATAACTATGTAGACTTTGCTTAAGGAAACTTGCGTTGGTGAAGAGGATTTGTTCTCCAGTTTCCTTAATCGACTTTTTAATACTCTAAGCTGGACAATGACTGAGTTCTCTGTTTCCGTTCGGGAAATGCAAGATAAGTACCAGGTACCTGAGAATATTTAACTTTCTTCCCATGGTAAATCTGATATACTCAGTATATAGGAACTGCCACATTGTTGGATTTGAAGAAAGAAATTTATTCTGGAATTATTCGATTTTCTGTTGTTAACTTCCTACATCATTGCAGGTGCTGGAGTTCCAGCAAAGGAAATGCTGCGTTATATTTGACCTCTCATGCAACCTGGCAAAGCTTTTGGAGTTCTGTACCCGCGAGATTCCTCAGGCATTTTTATCTGGGACCGATACAAACCTCCGAAGACTGACTGAACTGATCGTATTTATTCTCAACCACATAACTTCAGCTGCCGATGCTGAGTTTTTTGATTTGTGAGCTTCTGTTTCTATATTCTTATTTTGTGTGTTTACTATCAGTTCTCTTGCTGCTGACATCGGGCCTCTTTTCGTTTTGGCAGGTCACTTCGACGATATGGTCAGACCATGGAAAAAGTGAATCGAGGTATGATACTAGCGCCTCTTGTAGAGATCATATTGAATCTGTTGGATGGGAATGTTGGGAAGGAAGGTGAGGATCAGAATGATGTTGTCGGAGTTTTTGCAAGCATGGACTGCCCTGATACAGTGCACTGTGGATTCCAATACCTATTAGAGTACAACTGGGTTAGTTGTTCCACAACTTCCTTCATTAGCATATTCAGATTTGTTACTTGAGCAGCCACTTCCTTTCACGTAGACGGTCTCTGAACTTTGAGGCCACTAACAAATGGGCCACTGAACTTCAATTACTAACGAATTTGTCATTTAAGTTTCAAATAGCCAATATAACTGTCACTCCGTTTATGTTCGTCCATCACTGTCAGCTCATCAACATTAATGAAAGAAAATGTCACATACACGGTCGAATTAGTTATTGAGAAAGACAGGGATTAGGATGGTTTGAGTAATGTGGCATACCAATCTAGAATTGGGTGGCATATCAAACTGAGATGGACAAATTGTCTGCTACACCAGTTAACTTCAGCGACCAATTTGTTAGCGCTCGAAGTTTAGTGACCGTTTACGTAATTGACCCTCCAGTACTAGCCTTCTCACCTCTCCTTGACATTGGTTAAGCAGGCTGCCTGTGGTCGCGGGGACTCTTACCTTGGAAAGCTGTGCCAGCTCGAGACCTTCTTGAGCCTTCTCATAACCCGGATTGAGTCGGATCAAGTCCAGACGACAAGAGGCAGGGGAGAAACAACAGATGACGATGCCACCTGCTGTATTTGTTACACTAGTGAAGCAGATGCACAGTTCGCTCCTTGCTCGCATCGCTCTTGTTATGGCTGCATAACCAGGCATCTACTCAACTGCCACAGATGCTTCTTCTGCAATGCCACGGTGCTCGAGGTGGTCAAGATTGGCGAGTCGAACATCTGACGACTCTCCTGCTTATGCCTTGTGGTGCTCACAGAGGCTTTACTTTTTTGTCCTCTATAATTATAGGGGTTGCAATAATAATGTCAGGAAGATTATAGGAGGGGAGCCAAAGGTAGAATTAGGGGGTTATGGTGTAAAATTATTATGTTCTCTACTATGCATAGGAGGGTTAAGGGGTAAAACATACCAATTGGGATAGGGTGGGGTTATTTTTGTAGGGAAAATTTGAGGTCATTAATTCTGTAAATATGAGAGGTAAATGTAAAATGGTAAAAGCGTTTTCAATATTTGCAATATTTGCTGATTAAGTCAGCAGACAGTGTAAATCAACAGACTCGGATTCTGTGGTAGAAAATAAAGGAGAACAGGAGAACTTTTGCCTTGTTCGTGAAAATCGTACCGGCCAGTTGTACTATTCGACATATTTGAGATCGAAGTCTATACAAAGTTTATTGTGGTTTATTGTTATTTGTTTTACAGTTTTACAACTTTTGATCTGGACAAACGTTGCTGTTATTATCTGTCTGTAGAATATATACACCATGACTGAAGGAAGAGTTCTTAGTAAAAAGTTAACAGTAAGAACTAAAAACAGGCTGTATAATGGCAGCCATGCAGATGCTGCTGGCGGTATGAAAGCCAACAAAAAGCCACGCTACAGTATGCGTTCGGGAATTTGCTCGTTAGACAAGTTATTTCGGTCGAAAGATAACCGACAACATGGTCTCTTGATGGCGGTAAAACTGTTTGCAGCAGCTTCTTTATCAGTTGGATGAGCTCCTACTCATGAATCTTACCAGACTGCTCCCAGAAGAGTTATCAGCATGTCTACACTCTGATTCACCCACACACCCTCAAATTATGTACAAGGAAATACGGTATAACCGCCTTTTCTTCTTTCAGCTACTGTAATAACACACTTGAAGAGCACAGTGTGTGTTTGGGGTTGCTGCCAATCGTTTTCGGCTTCAAAAAATTAATCACACAGAAACTGTCACAGTTATCAATCCTCTTTCTGCCTGTAATGACCAGGGAGAGAATCTGCTGCTCCATTCTAGGAACTTGTCAAGCATGCACTCCGAAGTCAGTTTTCACGTCCCGGAACATAGGCAATAAGTACGACAAGGGATCACAATGAGCCATCTCCTGACTGTTCGTCATCAGAATCGCGCAGTAGCTTTCTGAGCAGTGGATGATCCAACTGATTGTCGGGTATTGATTCTACCAGCAACTTCATTGTGGTTGCATCAGCTGAAAAACCTTTAGACACCATCTCACGAATGAGTTCCACTGCCTCAAGTGGATCTTTATGCCGAAGAAATCCATGGATAAGCACGTTATAAGAGATACCATCTGGCGGACAACTGCTCCCTTCCATCTTTCTGAACAAATTGAATGCTTCGTCTACAAAACCATGGCTACATAGTCCAACGATTTCTATGTTATAACAGTGGGTATCAGGTTGCAAACCTTCATCATCACATAGCCTAGAAAACATTTCCTTTGCTCCCTTCACTCTCCCTGCTTTCCACAAACCATCGATAAGAATGCTATAGACGACTACATCACACTTCACCCTCCTACTTCCCATTTCTTCAAATACAGTTAACGCCGTATCAAGATGACCTAGCCTGCACAAACCAGCAAGCAGACTCCCGAACGTCACAGCATCTGGGTAGACACCTCGACTGCACATTTTCTCCAGAAGTTCTTGTGCATCTTTGAGCCTTCCCACTAGGCATAATCCATTCATCAGAGTATTATATGTAACTGTATCTGGGGCCAAATCCTTCTCGAGCATATCATTCAGTAATCGTTCGGCTTCATCCATCATTCTATTGTTACAATATCCATTGATCATGATATTATAACTACACACACTAGGTTCACATCCAGCATTGACCATGATATCAAATAACTTCTTAGCTTTGCCTAATTCGTTGCGCAAACAATAACCATCCATCAATGAATTGCAAGTGATGGTATCTGGAAGCAATCCACTTTGAATCATCATTTTGGTTATAACTTTAGCCTCCAAAACATTTCCTTCCTTGCAACAAGCATCGACCAATATGTTGAAGGTAACCGCATCCAACGTCATATTTTCCTCAACCATTTCGTTCAATAACATCAAAGCTTCATTCCTCTGGCTCGCGATGCATAAACCATAAATCAAGCAACTGTAAGTAACAGTATTGGGTGGAATCTTTTTATCCTTCATCCTAGAAAACACATCTAGAGCTTTAGATACCAACCCATCCTTACAGAACCTATCAATGACTGTGTTGTAACTAGCGACGTCAGGCTGGCAACCCAAACTTTCCATTTTTTCGAGCAATTCAAGACCAACATTTGTCTGTCCTGCCCTACATAGTCCATTAATGACTGAGTTGTAAGTGAATATATTTGGTTGACATCCCAGAATCCGAATCTTATCCACCAACTTCACAGCTTCAACAACTTTCCCATCTTTACAGAGCCCATGAATCAAGGTGGTGAAGATAACGACATTGGGTTGAAGACCTAGTTTAAAAGTCTTGCTCAAAACAGAAAACCCAAGATCCACACAACCCAATTTACAAAAGCTATGTATTGACATACCAAGTGTATGAAGATTGTGTGGGATTCCAGCCGACTCCATTCGTTGAGATACGAAGAACGCAGCTTTGGGGGCATTAATTTTCAGAAGAAACGACAACAGCTGGCCAAATTTCACAATGGAAGGCCTAGGACTCATGTGGAGCATCCCATTAAACGAAACCAAAGCATCATCTACACTGGCATAAGCAACAGAAGGACTGGAGATACGAGGAGTAGTTGGATTGCACCTTAAGTGAGAGGACAGAGGCGCTGTGGAAGAAGCAGAAGGGGAAGGTTTGGCCTTTTGTTGTTGGGCTCATGGGTTTGCAACCAATGACTTGTACAAATTATCTGGGTGGGTTTCTAAGTGAGGATTTTAACCTAATTATTCCTCATTGGAGATTGCAATTTTGATCTAATCCATTTTACAGGTTGTGTTTAATTTGTTTTGGTCGAGTACTATCAGCCCCAGGGCGAGATGGATATGGGTACTCTCCACGACCTGTTTTGAGTTATCTCATTCTTGACTTAATTTTGCTTAAATTATATGTAATTTTATTTAAATCATTTGGAATTTTACTTTCATTTCATCATATTTTTACCTATAATGAAGTTGTAAATATGCGAGAAACTTATTTTCTCGAATAATTTAATAATATTTACCAAATTTTAGTTTTTTCCGTTGAATCAGACCATATTATAGTTTGTTTCTTTATTTTTTTTAATGTAAATATGAATATTTATAACATTCTTATATGGGTCAACCTGCACCAATTCGCGTCTGATGATAAATTATCCGATCTGGACCCAACCTCCCACGGGGCAAGTATGAGTACCTAGATACCCGCCCCAGACTTGCCTCATTGGCATTCTTAGCTCATTCAAAGGTTTAGGGTATGGTGCATAGCCATGGATTTTTTTTACGAAGTGCATGACCTTGGATTATGCAAGTGCACAACTAAATTTGGATCAATGGTGTTGAATGGTACCATATTCAAGCGGTGAGATTAAAATACTTTTTTTATTTTTCCTATTGTTTTTAATTGGCTTCTATTTTCTTTGCTTTTAACTCGGATTTTAATTTATTTTTTTGCACAGATGAAACATGATCATTGTAATCTACAAAATAATGTATATTTTCAATATATTCCGTGATTTTTTTTTTTGCCAGCAATTACCATTACCCCCTGTTATCAATTGGTAACACTCTTTACTACCTTCGTTTTAACTCAAATTTTAAATTTTTTTGCACAAAAGAAACAGTTTCATCATTGATCTATCGATTCTGGGGGGAAAGTCTTGAAGATCAAATTTATCATCTTGTACTACCAAGGTATAGGGGTGGTAGATGGTGGTCAAAAGTGGTAAATGGTAGTTTGTATATTCATACTTTGACGCGGATGATAATTCTATACCATGGCATATGGATAGGACATTCGACTATAGTACATATCAATATCACCATGGTACAATTCTATGTACTACCAAACTACCAAACATTACAACCATGATATAGATTTGTAATAATGTCTCAAATTTGTTGTTCCATAATATTATCAAAGTGGATGTAAATTTGAAAATAAAGATTAATCTGATGCTATTTGTTCAAAATCCGATTTCAAACGACAGAAATATAGTCCTCTGCTCCCTCATCCAAACAACTCATTATCTATTTTATGGCGTTTTTTTAATTCTTTTTAATCATGTTGGATAATGCTCATTTACATACTGTTCGGAATAAATTAATTCTACAACTCCGACCCATATAGACTCGACCATTCATACAGAAGAACTTCATCAACATAACAGAAGTTCTTTGCTTGAGGCACAAACTTGTTGACTTGCTGTCGATCATTTCCTTGCATCGCTGAAGTAACCTCTCTTTTACAGTATGCATTGATTAGGACACGGTATCCAAACTACCTAGCTTCTTTCATTTCTCTCTGAGTGCAGAAGGCTCGAAGCAGGACATTGAACTCTTCGATCTCAAACCTTCATCCTTTTGCAAGCATCAAGTGTTTCGTCGAAAGATTGAAACTTGGCAATCTTTGACAGCATGATGCTCATGGATTTGGTGGTGAGCGAAAAAGGAAGTGATCTCCCAATTTCCTCTGTCCATGCTTTCTCGAAGGGCCGCATCCTCACGAGAATGTGGAGTCTTCTCAAAGGCGCAGGAGCTTGTGGCGGAATGGGGATAGGGGAGGGAAAATCTGAATAGCTCCAGGGCCCTGAGAACATTGGAATGTGCAGCAAGCCGAAAACGTTCTCGACAAAGCTTGAGAACTAAGTACCAAGTATCAAAGAGAAGGCAGAAGTTAATACACATCAGATAATACTATACCACCCTAAGTACGGGTCAAACATATATAATACTGTGCCAAGCAGAAGTGTAAGCGGAAGCCTAGACACGAATCACGTCAGGAAAGACCCAGGAAACACGCAATGAAAGAGTGAGTTTATTTGCAACAGTTTGTGCTATGTTAAGAACTCAACAACTCAATCAAGCAAAGCTCAATGGTTCTCTCATTTAGTACCCGGGAAAGGCTCGATGGCATCTCATTTCGTCCAACCAGCTTGAGGTTTTGGCAGAATAAATTTGTTAATCTAACTCAATTATGCACTGAAGCTATAAAGTGAAGATCATGTCGAAAATTAATTTGTGAACGATGGATGAAAGTTATATTTTGTACTCATTGATAAACTTCCCGCTTTTGTTTTTGGTAAAATACAGTGAAATACCACAGTATTGATAAAACTTAAATAGTTTTGGACTTCATGGGGTATCAATCATCTTTCTGGAAATGATCCTGAGGGGTGGTTTGCTTCTGTTGTTGACTATCACTATCATGATCATAGTCAAAGCTCAAGAACTAGATGAGCAGATTTCAGAGTTTCCTTGCAGAAAAACAAGCTACCACCCTATTCCTTCCATGGCAGAGAGAAACAAGTATGCAGAGAACTGAGATAAGTTCTTTCCATGTATAGGAAGTTCAGGACGAAGACACCCCGATGCACGAAACTCACATGTAAGCTAGAACGGTGAGGATCAAGAGTCATACCTTTAGTTCCACACACCATACGCTTCCCACATATGTCAGTAGAACCAGCATTAAGTTTTAGGATGTTCTCTCTGAGCCTCTGTTACATCATTTTTCTATTGTGAGAATCTTATTGACTTGAAGAGGTTCGTGCACCACTACTGGATGATCCAACTGACTTCCAGAGGAAACTTTCAACAAGCACCTTGAATTGCAGCAGCTGATAGAAACTTTCAACCATTGAAGAACATCATAGCCAAGACCATCGAAGCCCACGCACTTGTGACTTGACGATTGACATTCCCAGTTTCCTAACTGCAAAACAAGCATGGATTCTAGAACATTTCATCACACAGCCACCTCCATACTCCATTCCTGGTAAAGCAAGTCTCAGAGTTTTGATATCAATGGTTTCCATGTGTCAGGAAGCACATGAAAAAAAAGAAGAAGAAGAGGCACGCATACATATAACATACCTTCAGTTACAAGCACCATAAATTTGAAATGATATGTGTTCCTTTGCTACATCAGTTTGTATCGCCAGAACCTGCTGGATATGAGGAGCTTTGATCAATCCACCTAATTTTGGACAAAAGTTCTAATCAGCTGCCAGGGCTGCAACAGTTGATAGACCACTAGACCTCATTTCCTGACTTCTCACATCAGGATCATGCAGTAGCTTTTGGACAGCCGGATGATCCAACTGATTCTTGGGCAATGACTGTATCAGCAAGGACATCGTGGTTGTATCAGCTGAGAAACCTTTAGAAACCATCTCATGGATAAGGTCCATTGCTGCAAGTGGATCCTTATGACGAAGAAATCCGTGGATAATCACGTTATAAGAGCAACTATTTGGCAGACAACTGTCCCGTTCCATTTGTCTGAATAGATCATATGCTTCATCTACCAAACCTTGTCTACAAAGTCCACCAATTGTTATGCTATATGTGACAATATCAGGTTGCAAATTGTCTTTAGAGAGCCTAGAAAACATGTCCCTTGCTTCTTGAGCCCTCCCGGCTTTCCACAAACCATCTATAAGAGTATTATACAGAACAACATTAGGCTTCAACCGACTACTTTCCATTGCTTGAAATAGAGCCAATGCGGCGTCAACATGACCTCTCCTGCACGAATCATGCAGCAAACTTCCATATGTCACGATAGTTGGGGAGAAACCTTGATTGTGCATTTCCTTGAGAATTTTTTGTGCATCTTTTAGTCTCCCTGCTCGGCAAAATCCATTAATGAGAGTAGTATATGTGACCATATTTGGATTCAAGTCCCTCTCAACCATATCACTAACTAATTGTTCAGCCTCGTCCATCCTTTGAGCATTACAATATCCATGAATCATGATACTATAGCTATAAACACTAGGCTTGCATCCCCTGCTCGCCATGAAATCAAGTACCCTTCTAGCTTTGTCTAACTCGTTGCGCAAACAATACCCGTCCATCAATGAGCTGTACGTGACCACATTTGGAAGCAATCCCCTTTGAATCATCATTTTGAATATAAATTCAGCCTTCACAACATCTCCCTTCTTACAGAAAGCATCAATCATTATGTTGAAGGTAAATTCGTCAGGCATGATGTTGTGTGCCATCATTTCATCCAACAACATCATAGCTTCATTAATTTTGCTTGAGATACATAAACCATAAATCAAGCAATTGTAAGAAACAACGTTTGGCGAAATGCCTTTCTCCTTCATATCCGAGAACACATCAAAAGCTTTCGACACCATTCCATCCTTACAGAGGCTGTCGATGACTGTGTTATAACAAACCACATTAGGCTGACAACCTAACTCCATCATTTTCCCGAGCAATTCGAGTCCAGCATTTGTTTGCCCTGCCTTACAGATTCCATGAATGAGTGCGCTATAAGCAAACACATTCAGTGGACACCCCAGAATCCTGATTTTATCAGCCAACCTCCCAGCCTCAACGACTTTTCCAACTTTACATAGCCCAACAATCAACATACTGAACGTGACAGCGTCAGGTTGAAAACCAAGTTTGAAAGTTTTGCCCAAAACTGAGAAGCCAAAACCCACACTACCCAGTTTGCAGAAGCAACGAATCAGCATGTTAAGCGAGTAGATGCTAAGGGGAATTCCAGCTAATTCCATTTGTTTAAACACATCCAAGGCAGCCTGGAAAGCGTTCATTCTCAGAATAGAAGACACTAACCCGTTAAATTGCATAATTGAAGGCCTGGGATTCATGCGGAGCATCCGGTTGAATGAATCCAATGCATCATCTACGCTGGCGAAATTGGCAGAATTGGAGGTACGAGGACTAGCTTGATTGGAGGCGAAGTAAGACGGCAGAGGGGCTGCGGAAGAAGCAGAAGAAGAATAAAGGGATTCAATCGTACCGGCATCCCTTCGCCAATGATATCGAGAGCAGTTGTTTCGACGGGTGATGCAGTTGTTAAGGATCATCTTCATCGCAATGGCCAGCTGCTGAACTGGTGTTAATGTGACGGCGGTGATTAGAGATACTGCGCACCCAACGACAATAACCAGCTGTGCCTCCGCCGGCGGGCGGGAGACTGAAAAGGGTTGCGATTTCAGTGAAGCAACGCCGTCGGCTTGTTGTTATTGGTGGCGGCGGATAGGTTCGGCCTTTTGCTGCTGGGCTCGTGCATTTGGGTTTGGAACTTTGGAGCCAATGACTCTTTTGGTGTTTTATAACGTTTATCTTTTGATTATTATTTTCTTAATCATGCTGGATAATGTTCATGGATATTCAGTAGAAATAAATTCTATAAATTAAAATAAAATGTATTTTGAAGTATTTTTTCGTATGAAATATAAAATGACAGCTATTTTAGCAATTTCAAGAAATCGAATGAAAATTTCAAATGAATTTTACAAATATATTTTACAAATTATAATAAAATAAATTATTACTAGTTCTTTTTATAACAATAAATGATTACTATTAGTTATTAATTAGATTACCTGAATATATTTTTTTTATGGAAAACCTGGTAAAATTCATTTCGAAAGAACTCAAGTCAGGCTACAAGGACTACGACCCAAATCGGCCTCCAGCAAACTCATCAAAGAAAAAAGGGGGGTCACAAACCCAAACGACGTGGTTTTCACATCTAGCAACAGAGTGGGCCAACCAATGGCCATGCCCATTACAACTTCTAGGAACGTAACTCCATACAACCGGAGAACCAGAGACACAGCTTCATTTTCCGTTGACAGCTTCCAAATCTCTTCGCACCACACTCCCAATTCCTTTCGGTCAACCTCTTTGTTCTTCAATTTCGCCACAAAAAACTGACAATCTGATTCAACAACCAGGGAACTCAAAAGTCTTCTATTAGCTTCCTTCAATCCCAACAAGATCGCCCTAGCTTCGGCTTCAATCGGCCTACAAGCCCCTCTTTCCTTTCTCGCCGTCGCCCCCACATAATATATTTTCATTTGGCCTCGAGTGCTTAAATCTAACATTAATATATGAACATAGTTTGTGTCCAACCGTCTAATTAGGATTGTTGCTAATCTAATAAAGTGATCGACTTTCTCATCTTCGTTCTTATAATAAGGTACTAAACTGCTACTACTACATTGTGTGTAACTATCCTGGGTACCTTTTCACATCAAACAATGAATTCCAAGACTGAAGAACACAGTTGTGTCAAGTACTTATGGACTATGAACAAGCATCTGAGCATGGAAACCTAGACAAACTGCAAGCATGGTTCGGATGATTGAAATCGGACAAAGGCCAAATCTACCATCCGGTTTTCGGCAAAGGAACATGATGGATTGCAATGAAATTCAAGCTAGAATCAAAGAAACCAATATTCATGTTCAAATCTAACCCCTGTTCATGAATCTCAAATGGGATACATAATCACCGATCCACATTCGTGTGCCACAAAATAACATCTAAGTAACTAGATTAAGCAATTCATCTGTGCCTATAATCCATCTACTGCTGTCTATCCATTTCACTCCGACCACACGACTAGTTTGATTCCGGATACCAACCTGCTTCTGTAGCCAGGATGTCAAAGAGCAAGTTAGAACAGTCACGATCGCGAAGTTACATATCAAAATCCATGGAGCTACTCATGCTGGGGGGTTTCAATGAAGATGGAGATGTATTCACAAGCTTTGCTCGTCCCGACTTTTGATCCACCTCCACTTTGAGACCAAGACCTCCTAGTTCAGGCATTTGAACAGTCCCCTGCACCTCCAATTCAGCAACCGCCTGCTGGTTCTCAGCATTCCCCTCCAACACATTCCTCATAGCCCATATTCCCCACTCTCTCAAGAACGGGTTATCATCATCCGTAACACATTGTTGCAACAGAAGGAGAAGCCCATTAGCATCCCTAATCTGGTCCTGCACGCGCTTCCTTCTGTACGAACAGTTTCCTATCACTCCTACAATGTCTCTTCTAAACCCAATGTAAGGGCACGGCTTACCAGAGAAAGAAGTATCCGCTCGCTCAGTTCCTTCCCCTCTCGTGCCTCTCCTTATCGTGCTTGGGAGTTCGAGGATTCGAAGAAACCCTAAAAGGGTCTCCAGTAGTCCACGAGACACGAGCAAAGAAACAACATCTTCTTCTGAATCTTCCACAAAGGCAATGCCACATATGTGCTTTAGAACGGTGAGCGAGTATCCAAGAATGTCGATCGAAGCAGACCCAGTTGGAAGCTTAGATTTGGCTCCAGAGACATGCTGCTCAAGTACATCAGCAGAGTCCTTGAATATACCCAAAACACAGAGTGCAAAATCAACTGAGAGTGTTCTTATCTCCTCCAACCTCTCACACAAGATCTCTGACACCATCCCCAGAAGGTAAGCTTGTTCGGATGAGAAACTAGTGCTGCTGTTGGTAGCCTTGCCCTTATCATCAGACATGCCAATGCGATATAATCCCGGAAACAAGGAATGGAAGAGATTTTCATCTATGCAGATCCTGGACACAATCAGCTTCAACCAATCTTCCTCAAAACCAACTAGAGAAGCGGTCTTCACGATTTCGACAACAACAGGAAGTCCTTCCTCCCCAACAAGTTGAGAAAATAGGGCAGGGCTTCCATCACAACAAGCGTACAGAATCATACACAGAGGATCAGAAATCTCCTTTCTTCCAATGCTTCCAATAGCAATAAACACTTTAGGGAAGAACTCGTCCCAAATAGCTCGCTGATGTTCAACACCAGCCAAGCCGACATTCGCCAGGACTTGCAATCCAGCCCGGATTATGACCGGACCCGAGTCAGGGTTAAGCCCCGCAGATACCAGAGCCGCGGAAATAATCCCGGCGCCATTAAAATCGAGGAAGGAGTTCTGATTGGCAATTTCTCCAGCACACAGGTTTCTCAAAAGTCTCAGAGCTAAAACGAGGTGTTCAGGACAAGGGAGAGATCGCACGAACCGTAGAACGTCGGGGAGAACATTCTTCGAAGCTAGGTCGGAGCGGCCGGCATCCGACCTCGCGGCCGATGCGAGAGCTTGCAACGCTTCTTTCGCGTCTGAGGATTTGGCAGCCGTCAACAGCGGCAGAAGAAGGGGGTGCTGGAGAGAGAGCACCGCGTTTGATTCGCCGGCCATTGTCATCTCCAACTACCAGATAAACAAAATCAACTGTATCGCCGGCGGCGGCTGAGACTGGAATCTTGAGAGGAGCTTCGGCCTTTTCGTGTTGGGCTCTTATATTGGGTTTTGAAGCCTGTTATTAGTAGCCTGTTATTGGGTTTTGCTATTGCTTTGCTTCACCTAATTATGTCTAGACAACACTTAATTAGGGCCTCATTCTTATAAGGCTGACTTCATGTTTAATTGGGGTTCGATCGATCGTTGACTTCGATTTGATTAACGGTAAAATAAAATTGATTTTTGTTATGGTGCACGATCAATGGGATTAAGCCTTCAATTCGATTTTTGGTCAAACTAAACTTTTTTTGGTTCAGTCAAACGATTTTTTTATAATAATTTTATTTAATTTAAAATTGGATTGTGATTGAATTTGTTTGATTATTAAAGATATAAGGGTGCTCTAGGATATTTGAACATCTTTTTTTTGTTAGAGTGTGTTTGTTAAGTGAAAATAAACTGAAATGTGCAAAATGGTATAAAGATCATTTTAACATTTTCTAGGACAACCCTTAATAATTTCCAGAATGAAATTTTTCAACTCCCAAATTCTAGCTATAACTTATGAGGAGGGGTAGGTATCGGTCTATTCGGTTAAGAACCAGATTGAATTGACTTAGAATCAGACCAAAACCAAAGGAAAAATGATGATCGAAATTGGACTAAAAGCATATTTGGTTAGATTCAGTCTGGTCCAAATTCATTTACGATCCATTTCTTTTAATTCTTAAAATAATCCTTGGGACCAAAACCGAATCAAAATATATTCAATCTGATTCGATCCAAATATCAATTCTGTAATGATTCATTCTGGTGTGGACTGGATCGTTGCCCAGTCCTACTTATTAGTGGTGCTTTCTAGTCACGACACCATTCAAAGGTATGTTTGAAGTTCTTTTTGTACTTGACGTACATATTTGAACGAGATTTCTCATTACTCCATGCCAACTTATGTATAGATTTAGATGAACTGCTAATCGCCTAATTCATTGGTCTATATCCTAAGTTTTTGTTCATGAATGATGTAGCTTATAAGAAAACGATAACGTCGATCCAAATACAGTATGCGAACCGTTCGAATCTACTTAAATTCATGTCAGTTGGTACAAACCAAAGGTATCGTATTGTTTCAGTATTTCTACAGCAAAACAACGGAAACGACATTGAACAGTGATGGATTTTCTTTACTCACTTGCTTAGTACACATCAGAGAGCTCACTGTTACATAATTAGTCTTCATGGCTGCCAGCCCTCTTTCTGTCAGTGATTACTGAGGAAGAATCTGCTGCTGCAGTATCATCTTCTTGTTACAGCTGCAATCAAGGATCATCACCACGATGATCATGATCGTGGTCAATAAACGATACCGTAATCATCGCACGTCCAACTTCTGAATCTGATGATGGAAATCAGGGATTCTGCAAGACATATGATACAGCTATCTCGCTACTTCTTCCATGACATCTGAGCCGATCAACATCTGAAGATAAAAACAAAGACAACATCCAATACAGTAATGAATTAACTTCAGTAATCGTGCCAGGGAATGAAACGAGTTCTGGAATGAACAAAGGAGCAATAGAATTCGAATCATAATGGGCTTACTACATGCAATAAATCCAACCACGAGCATTTGACCATGATATCCATTCGAAAATCTCAGCTGACCCATAGGCAACCATTTAAACAAGCTCCTGGGTGTATACGACCTTAGGCCCCAATCCCCATCTCTTAGACTATCGATGTCAGAATTTTCAGAAAAACTCAGCAGCTTATTCTTATTAAGTGACCCCTATAAGTTATCATAGTTGATTATCGCAGAATATTTGCTTAGAACTAAGAACTAACTAACAATGAAACCAAGAGCTTAGAGAGGGAAACAACTAACCATTACATAGTTGGTCTGCATGGTTATCAATCCACTTCCTACCAGTGATCAGTTGAAGATCATCAAGGCCATGATCATCGAAGCCCAAGCACTTGTGACTTGACGATTGAAATTCAGAGTTTCCTAACTGCATAACACGCTTGGATTCTAGAACATTGCATCACACAGCCACCTCCATACACCGTCAATAGCAGAGTGAAGCAAGTCTGCAGAGCTCTGATATCAGTGGTTTCCATGTGTCAGGAAGCACATGGAAATAAAGAAAAAGGGAGAAGCGTGCATACATACAACATACCTTCAGTTACAAGCACCATGATTTTGGAATGATATATTTGTTCCTTCAAGGCATCAGTTTGTATTGTCAGAAACTGCTGGAATGAAGAGCTTTGATAAACCCATCCAAGTTTGGACAAAAGTTCTAACAAGCTGCTAGGGATGCAACAGTTGATAGACCACTAGACCTCATTTCCTGACTTCTCACATCAGGATCATGCAGTAGCTTTTGGACAACCGGGTGATCCAACTGATTCTTGGGCAATGACTGTATCAGCAAGGACATTGTGATTGTATCAGCAGAGAAACCTTTAGAAACCATCTCGTTAATAAGGTCCATTGCTTCAAGTGGATCCTTATGATGAAGAAACCCGTGGATAATCACGTTATAAGAGCAACTATCTGGTAGACAACTACCCCGTTCCATTTGTCTGAATAGATCATATGCTTCATCTACTAAACCTTGTCTACAAAGTCCACCAATTGTAATGTTATATGTGAAAATATCAGGTTGCAAACAATTGTCTTTAGAGAGCCTAGAAAACATGTCCCTTGCTTCTTGAGCCCTCCCGGCTTTCCAAAAGCCATCTATAAGAGTATTGTACAGAACAACATTAGGCTTCAACTGACTGTTTTCCATTGCTTGAAATAGAGCCAATGCAGCGTCAACATGACCTCGCCTGCATGAATCATGCAACAAACTTCCATATGTAACGATAGTTGGAGAGAGACCTTGATGGTGCATTTCCTTGAGAAGTTTCTGGGCATCTTTTAGTCTCCCCGCTTGGCAAAATCCATTAATGAGAGTAGTATATGTGACTATATTTGGAGTCAAATCCCTCTCAACCATATCACTAACTAATTGTTCAGCCTCGCCCATCATTTGAGCATTACAATATCCATGAATCATGATACTATAACTATAAACAGTAGGCTTGCATCCCATGCTGACCATGAAATCAAGTAATCTTTTAGCTTTCTCTAACTCGTTGCGTAAACAATACCCGTCCATCAATGAACTGTATGTGATGACATCGGGAAGAAATCCTCTTTGAATCATCATTTTGATTATAACTTTAGCCTCCAATACCTTTCCTTTCTTACAAAAAGCATCAACTAATATGTTGAAGGTACATACAGTAGGCATGACATTCTTTTCTACCATTTCATCAAACAACATAATTGCTTCATTCATCTGGCTTGAGATACATAGTCCGCGAATCAGGCAACTGTAATGGACAGCATTTGGTGGCATATTTTTATCCTTCATCTTCGAAAACAAATCTAAAGCTTCTGATACATTTCCATACTTACAGAGACCACTGATGACGATGGTATAGCTAGTCATATCAGGTTGACAACCCAAATCTTCCATCTTTTCTAGCATTTCCAGACCAGCATTCGTTTGTCCATCTTTGCACAGACCATGAACAATCGAATTATAAGTGATGGCACTGAGTTGATACCCCAACACCCTAATCTTATCGACCAACTTCACAGCCTCGAGAACTTTCTCGTCTTCACAGAGCCCATGAATCAAGGTATTGAACATCACAGTATCCAGTTGAAAACCATGTTTCAAAGCTTTGCCCAAAACAGAGTAGCTAAGCTCCACACGGCTCAATTTACAGAAGCAGCGAACCAACATGCGAAGAGTGTAATGATCGTGGGGGATTCCAGCCAATTCCATTTGTCTAAATGCAAATAACGCAGCATCAGGGGCGTTCATTCTCAAAAGACAAGTTACCAACTGTCCACATTCCACAATCGAAGGTCTGGGGTTCATTTGAAGCATCTTATTCAATGAATCCAAGGCATCATCTACACTGGTGAAAGTAGGTACATTTGATGTACAACGAGTAGTTGGTCTTGATCTGAACAGAGACGAAAGAGAGGCTGCCGGAGTAAAAGAAGAAGAAGAATAATAAGGGTATTCAGTCATACCGGTTTTCCTTCGCCGATGAACTCTAGAACAGTAGTGATGGATGATGCATTTGTTGAGGGTCATCGTCCTTCTTGCCATGGCGAGCTTGCTGAACTGTGTTGAACTGAACGCTGCGACGATCAGAAACCACTGACAGTGTGAGCCAGACCAATTTTTTAGTGCGAACCCACCAATAAAGATACAAACTTGGGGGAGTAGAAACCAGACTGTAACCAGAAAACAGAACCCAGGATTTCTTGTACCTTCAGAAGCAACTAACCGGCGGCGAAGCGGAATCGAGGAGGCAGAGAACCCAGAATGTCAATTTCTTCCGTTTCAGGGTTTCGTACTTTCGTTTGGTCAATTGGTGGGCTGGAATTTCCAAGGCCAACGAGTTGGTGTGGGCTTCTGTTATCTTATCTGTCCACCCGGCCCAGTAATCCATTAGAGAGTTTAGGAAAATTCTTAACTATGTTGACAGATATGTTAACAAATCAAAGTATTGTGACTGATTTGTTAATTAGCCAGAACCTTTAGTGGCTGTTTATGTAATTAACCACACCACCGGGCTCTCTTTCTTGTTCGCCGCCCCGCTCCTCCACACTCTTCTTCACTTCTTCCTCCCTCCTTTTGCTTTCCTCCAGCCTCCTTAAGCTCGAACGATGCTCCAGTTCCATCGTCTCGGTCTTTTTTGGAAGAACTGATTCCCAGAGTAAGTGTTTGTAATCTCTGGACAATCAAGTCAGTTGGGTAACCTAAAAACCAAGAGACTTCGCGATGGCTGAGAACGATCAGGAAAAGAGAGTGGCCGATAGGTATCTCAAGCGTGAAATTCTTGGTGAAGGTACTTACGGTGTCGTCTACAAGGCCATTGATACCAGAGTAATTACCCCAACTTCTTCTCTTTGTTTGAGTTTTTCTCCAATTCTTCCTTCTGGGCGTTTGGGTTTCTAAGCTACGAAGTTCTTGGGGGTTACTGGCAGTAGAAATTTCCAGCTGCGTTTCTTTGGGTGTTGAGAAAGCTGAATGTGGTTTGTTTTTTTTTTATATTACGGAGAGCTGAACATTCAATTCGGTATAAGTGTATATTAATAAGTTCAGTTGAGATTAGGTTGATTGAGTTTCAGCCATTGGGATCTCTGTCACGGGTGAGTGAACAAATCCTTCACATTGCAAATGTAGCTGCATGAATAGTATATGGGGTCATGGTAATTCGCTTGTCTGCATTCAGTGTTAGTGATAAATGAACAGTAAGAAATGAAGTTATGTTTGTTGTGTGCTTTCCCATTTTTATTTTTTGAAAATCATGAAAGTTTTCCCCTTTTGCAGACTGGACAGACCGTTGCAATCAAGAAAATCCGGCTCGGGAAGCACAAGGAAGGGGTGAATTTTACAGCTCTCAGAGAGATTAAACTGCTGAAAGAACTTAAAGATCCGAGTATAATCGAGTTGATCGATGCATTCCCTCACAAGGGGAACTTAAACCTTGTGTTTGAGTTCATGGAGACTGATCTGGAAGCAGTTATTCGTGATAGGAATATATTTCTCTCACCAGCTGATATCAAATCATACTTTCAAATGACGCTGAAAGGTCTAGCCTTTTGCCACAAGAAATGGGTTTTGCATAGGTGAGTGCTGTATTTGCTTAAATCTTGGTCAGTTTGTGACATAAAATAGCTACACCTTGTCTAATTTCTCAGTACTTGCTCTGCAGGGACATGAAGCCAAATAATTTGTTGATAGGGTCTGGTGGACAACTTAAACTTGCAGATTTTGGTTTAGCTCGTGTATTTGGGAGCCCCGATCGCAAGTTCACTCATCATGTATGTTTTGTTTGCTGATGTATCGAACTACAAGGAAGTTTAATGGAATATTTGTTTGTATTTGACAAATTGGTGCCCCTTTACTGTGATATTTGTCATGTTTGCTTATGTTTTTTGCGCTGTTTATGGATTCTCCTTTCTTGTGCTTTCTTTCAATTTGATCGTGATCAAGATGTCCTTTATGACATCACAGTTTGAATGCCGGCAATCAGTTCTAGATATCCTTTCACCTGAGCATAGTTGTGGGAAGAACTGAATATGTTAGTTGGTGGCTTATTGGAGGGGATGCATTAGTAAGAATCTGTTTGTTGAAATATACTGTTTATGAAGTATAACAACAAGATGAATGATGAATAATTTCATTTTTCTATTAGTTTACCTTCTTTTATGTATTATTCTTCAATACTAGTACCGGTGATGTGTAATGTTGATTGCAAATTTTTCATTTTAATTCCGCAATTTATTACTTTGGAAAATAAATAGTGACAAGCTTGAACTTCGATGCTCAGGTGTTTGCTCGGTGGTACAGAGCACCTGAACTGTTATTCGGGGCAAAGCAGTATGGTTCTGGTGTTGATGTGTGGGCTGCGGCATGCATACTTGCAGAACTTCTATTGCGCCGGCCCTTTCTACAGGTTGGTTGTCTTCTCTTGCTCAGGGGTTCTTCAGAATCAAATCCATGGTTATTGGTGTTCTAGTGTAAAACTGCTCAATGTTGTTTGCTGTTTTATTGCAGTGACTTGCATTCTTTTGCTCTCCATCATTGTCCTCAAGTATGGTTTACTTTTTCTTGGCTGTTCCGGACACTAGGCTGATCTTCTGTCGTAGCATGTTTGTCCCTTGCACCATGTGTGTGGTTTTATTGGGGGATTGGGGGTGTTACTCTTAACTCCTTCCCTTTCTGCCTCTTCTTGTTGGTGTGGAGGTGCTCATTGAAGTGCTTAAGCTGCATATTATATAACCTTTTTCCTTGATATCCTAAGTTGAGCAGGACCCTTAACAAATTATATATTGCAGCCTCTTTCATTTGAAATGGCAGCATTTTGTTTTTTCAACAACAGTTGATACTATACCCCTTACACATAAATGTTGACGATTGAGAAACTTCAGGGCTCTCAACCCCCTTCTGCCTCCCTCTTCTTAGCCCCACCAATTTCGAACCTCGACTTTCATAGGCATATTTACAAGATAATGTGTCAAGGTTTCTCTTTGATCTACCAAGTCTTGGCCATGGTATTTAACACAATTTTTCCCAACATGCCTGTGATCTTTAGCTTTCATTTGCTGATACAGGATATCTTTCTATGACATTTGAATGCTGGAATAAACAGAACCGTTGTTGGATTCTTTCAGTCTTTGATTTTTGTGTCCATTTAACTTCTCGAAAACAATTTCATTGTTGGGATGCTATTCCTTAGCTTTTTTCTTTCCGACGACTGACTGCTTAGATCTGACCTTAGCAATGTGCAATGGGTAGAGTTGCAAGCCAGTTTAGATTCATTACTCATCTGGGCTGCCACGTGAGAAGAAAGGGGCGAGGGATGATAGGCTCCTTTTCAATTTTGATTTTGATAGTGTGCATAATGCATCATGGAAAATTTAAAAGGTTTATTTGTTTTGGTTAGGAGTATATGTGTCTTATCTCTACCGTGTGATGTGTGGCAGGGGTCAAGTGACATTGATCAGTTAGGAAAGATTTTCCAAGCATTTGGGACTCCAACACCTTCACAATGGCATGATTTGGTATACCTTCCTGATTATGTCGAGTACCAAACAGTTCCTTCGCAACCTTTGCGTAAATTGTTTCCAATGGCTAGCGAGGATGCCCTGGATCTGTTATCAAAGATGTTCACTTATGATCCAAACAGTAGGATTACAATCCAACAGGCATTGGAACACAGGTGTGGAATTGAAACTCTATCTAGATGAGAGTCTAATAAATTGTGGGGTTTCTGATATACTATTATTTAATATATATATGTGTTTGGTATTAGGTACTTCTCATCTGCCCCTTTACCTACGGAACCCGCTAAGCTTCCCAGACCTGCTCCCAAGGGGCAACCTCTCAATGCTAGGGTTTCAGATTTGAATTCCCAGGCTGCTCCAACTGTTTTGTCACCTCCAAGGAAGACGAGAAGAGTGATGGCTGAACGTGAAAGCTTTGATGTAAATGTCCACCAACAACTTGATAAGATTGATGAAAATGCACAAATGAGACAACATACAGCTGGTGATAACTCGGGCAGGACTGACCACATGCCAATGTCAGTAGATCTTTCAGTGTTCGGAACAAGACCCATGAGCAGACCAACAATTAACAGGTAAACCCACTCCTTAGATATTTGCAGGATAATGAGATTATATGCAATTGTTTATTGAGCAATGACCAATTGTAGCTAGGTTGATTTTGTTTGTGATATATAGATCCAAATCTGTGTTCGTCTAGGTGTGGGTGACATAGAGTGCCTACTTAGTTTAAATTCTGAATGCGCAGGTGAACATTGAATTTGATTTGGAGTGTGAACTTGATTTGAAAGGCCTTTCATTGGTTCAAGTAGTGCCTACGTAGGCTACCAAGTGTTTGAAATACATGTAGGTTGGCATGGATCCACAAATAAGAACAAAAAGAGAGGTGAATTCTTAACAACTTTAATGCTGGTTGATGTACAATTAGTCGCAGGCTTTTAATGCTGTAACCCATGAAGATGAAGTTCATAGACTCAAAAGTGGAGTGTTAGTAGTAGCATCTTATGAGAATGCTGAGTAGCTAATAGAATATAGGAAGTAGCATTAACCTTAAATGCCATGTTTGCACCCTGACCTTCTCTTTTCTTCTTCCTGCGTGCCTGGCAATGTTCTCCTCTGTCGTCCAATGAAATTTTTTCTCTCCAGATGGCCAAAACAGACGATAATCTATATAAAGTTTTCCTGTTTTGGTGCAGTGCTGACAGATCCCACCTGAAGAGGAAACTAGATCTTGAATTCCAGTAGCCAAATTAATGGCACACCCTGTGCAGATAGATTACTAATTTGTCGTGCGCTCTGATGAACCACTGCTGCTTAATCCGGTATCGATCGATCTCTCTCTGCCACTCTATACTACAACTTCCCCAACTGTAATTAATCGTGTCGAGAACATCTTTCGGTGAGCCAGCCTCATGAACCTGCAAAAGCTTACAGAGGAAGAAGCATTGTCATTCTTGAATTCAAGCTGTTGCAGTTGCCAGCATACAAGTCATTATTTGATTTGAGGAGTGTTGTGTTGTGATTTTTCTTTCTTTCTGTATTCTCAAAAGGGTCGGTCTGCTTCTTACCCTAATCCATTTTTATCAATTATTTCTGTAACGATCTTAATTGTAAGACAAACAGATGAACTTGGGAAGAGAAGAAAAAAAATATTCACTTGTTACCTACAAACAAAAACGTTTGAACAAATTAGCTCCAGGGTGTAAAGTGTTTACATATTCACCAACTATAAGCTATAAATTCAGCCTGTATTTAATGGGAACCAGGACAGGCAGTTGGTATGTTATGAATTGAGGGTACTAAGAAGGGAAAGAGGAGAAGAAAAGCTCAAGTTTTCCATTAATGGAGAAGATTTGCTACTTCTTCACCATGTAGGTTGGAAGATTGGGCCAATTACTAACTTCAGTGACCAATTTGTCCACAACCTTTGAGCATTCATATCGTTTGGACCAATATTTGTGAAATTGTATCGTATCGACGGTCCAAATTTTTTTTTTTTTTGTTTTTTTTTAATATCGGAGGCCTAAATCGGTTGGTGATTTTAAGTGATATGAAATGACTGAAGCACAGTTTCAGCATAAAATATTATATCGTGAATTATTCCGATACAAGCACGGTACGGTTTTACAATGTTGGACCTCCAAATACAATAATACTAATACATGCACATCAAGCTAAGTGCAATAGTAGTAAACATGTAAACACACCCAATCATTGTTAATTCAAGCTTCTTAAATGTAATTAATAATTGGTTAGCAAATTATTAAGCTGAAGCCTCATTGATTTGGGGACCTTTTCCCTTGCTCGTTGGAGGATCCGGTGGCCTTCCTCCTCCTGCTACTGCTCGAAGGGACACTGCTGCAGCTGGTGCCGATGAGCCGGTTTCCTGCTGCTGTAGTTGCTGATTCATCAGAGGTAATTACACAAATATCACTTCTCTTAATTTTCCAACGATATCTAAACGTTATAAAGTGAGAGATTGAAGAGATAGAGAGTTGCCTTTGATGAAGCTAGCAGTTGCAGGGGAGGATCCTCTGCTGCTGTCATCGCTGGACGATGTTCTTCTTCTTCCTTCTGCTGCAGCTGCTGATCCTGATCATGAGGCTGACGACGATCGTCGTCTTCCTCTTGGCGAAAGCCCAAGCAGTTGAGGAAGGGTTTAAGGGCCTCCAAGCACTGGATGTGCAGAACAGAGTCAATGTTGAACAACCACCTTGTCCCTTCCATCTCCTCTCACTGCAAATCTTCTTCTTCTTTGTTTCTTCTGTTCTGTAGGGTTGGAGGGTTTGGTTGGTAATGTTAGTTGCTGTATAATAAAGGTGCACTTTCAGTGTGGGTTTTTATCAGAGAAACCAACCATGGAAGTTCATCATTTATTCACCCTCTCTCTCTGTGACAGAGTACGTACCACCACCTTTCCCACCTATACATTAAATGCATTTTACGTACTAATTAAACAATGCAGTGGGGAGGTTCTTGATGAGTAATATAAAGGCCAAAAGCTGACGGAGATCCTCCATGTTCAGGCAATGGGGGCTTCAATTTTCATGGAGACAGTAGGTTTAGTACTCAGATAGCCATACATCCGGAGAACAAGTAAACAGCAATGGCAACAAAAACAGAAAACAAAATAATGTATATATCAATTAAATTGGATAATGTAAGCAACAAGCGCCCATGGCCTAATGGATAAGGCGCTTGACTTCTAATCAAGCGATTGTGGGTTCGAGTCCCACTGGGCGTGCTGAATTTTTCTTTTTGGTGTTTTTTAATGATTTTGTTATAATTGGTCCTGTAGTCCTTGAACTATGTGTTTTTTGGTGAATTAGTCCTCGTATTATGGTTTTTGACAAAGACATCCTTTCTTTTGTCATTTTGACAATAATTTGTAACAAACATGTTCATCTGCCATCTAAAATTGAATCAACCCATATCAAGTATGCTTTATATGATTATGTTACTATTTTATTTAAGTAATCTATTTGTTTCGCAAATAATTTTCTTTCACGTTGGATTCGTTGTCATTTTGTTGAACTTCGAATAGTAAGATTGCCACTAGTATATATATGATAATCTCGACCTAATTCATATAGTAAAATCATCGTTTTTCTTTCTACACCAATTGGACTGACCCTCCTCTTCAACTAAAAATTGGACAAAAAAAAAGAGGACATATTGAAGATTAATTGGTGGGGTAATTAACAGTAATAAACTAATAATAATAACAATAACTATAAGAAGAAGAGCCCTTCACAAAGTCTGTAGTTCATAAGAAATGAGATCCAAAACACTTCAAAGTTCAAACAAACAGCCATTCTAAACGGCAACAAGATAATAAAGATTAACAAACAACAAAATCATGATTAACACGCACTAATTACTACTATGGCGCGTAAACCAACCAAAAAAAAGATATAAATTCAACTAATTTAACTAATTATTATTAATTGATCTGTGGACCTCTGCCGAAGCTCACCCCTGGCCTCATCGGCATTCTCTCCGTCTCCGCCCCGGTCGCACCGCCGCCGCCGTCATCACCGCCACAGCGTGAGAAGAAGCATGGACTCCGCCGCACCAGATCATCCCACCACCACCTCCACCCTACTACTTCTTCTTCTTCTTCCTCCTCCTCTTCCCTTTTGCTGCCATTCTGATCCTCTGCTCTCGCGTCCACGGAAATAACACTGCTCCTTCTTCTTCCTCCTTTGCCCCAACCTTAATTAGTTGACAGACCACGGAAGGGATTTTGATTAAATTTCTGCAGCTAACTCACACCATGCATATGTGGTGGAATTTTTTTTTTTAATATTTTACTCACCGGCGTTAGCCGTCGATTCGCCGCCGCTGGCCACGCCACGGTTACCCGCTACCACCTTATTCAATGCACATTTTGGATGTGTAAGCTATGTTGTGTTTCAATGAATAAATTATCGAATATGTGTGACATTAGTGGTAGTAGCTAGGTACATTAATATTGCAATATCCAATGAAATATATATATATATATATGGTGTGGTTTTACGACGACAAGAGATTGGTTTTTAACATGAAGATCTCAAGTTCGAATTCTGTTAAACGCAACAGCTAACAGTTAAAACAAATCTATGTTACTCTTATATAATAATAAAAAATTAATCGTTTATTCTCTTTGACCTGGACCACTACGAAATTGGATAAGGATTAAGGACAAAGATAGTCGGACTGGTCTTTTTTGTTTTTGTTTTTTTTTTTTTTTTTTTGTGTCCCTTTGGTCTTCTTTCTTTGCTTTCGCGCGTATTGAAGATCCGTGTTTCTCGTTTTAAAAAAAAAACAGGGTCAAGCACAATGAGACAGTTCAACGTGCTAAAAATCCGTGTTTCCCGCGTTGAAATTCAGACCGTACGTAGAAGATGTTTTTCTCACAAGCTCGAAAGAAAGACGGAAGAATTAATCGAGAATCGGGATCGGGAGAAAAAAAATTGACAACACCCACAGAGAAAGATGCATATCGGAAGCACAAGATTGTATTGGAAACTTTAGTGTGGGATCTAGCTTTTCCTACATTACCCTTGTAATAATAATATGGAAAATTAAATCTAAGGATATCTGATTTTAATTACTTTTCCTAACCAAAGGATTTACTTTGCATACCTTCGAAGCTCGGATCGGAGCCACTTCCCTCAACTCGACGGCCGCCTGCGCCTCGCCGGCTACCCGGTTCCGGCCATGCGCCGCCGCCGCCGCCGGCGGAGGACGATGTGGCGGAAGATCCGACGGATAGGCGGATAGTGGAAGGAGAAGGAGGGCGAGTGATGACAGGAGAAGGATTATTACATGGCAAGGCCACGGCGGTGAATTATTATTAGGTGACAAGATTCTTAAGCTTACGCTTCTACTCGCCATTAGGAGACGAACATGCACTACGTACTGAGTAAAATGTTTTTACGTCGAGAGCAAAAGAATGTAGAGTACTGTAGAGCTCTGCAGCTACATGATATACGCCCATTTATTGAAGGAAATCCAGAGATCTCATTGGAGATGTCATATGTGACGTGGAGGGACATGAGATAATATGTCATTTTATTTTTACTATTTTTTCACATTGAACGTATTTTTTGTAAAAATTATCCAACACGTTCTTGGGTTAAATTTACATCCAAATACCATCAAACACAGTCAAATCATGATTCGGATGATCTGGTCTCGGGAAAAAAATGGAAGGAGAAATGTCAGTTTTGTCCGTCTATTTATTTCTATCGGTTTCATTATATTATAGTGAAATTATTAGGGGCGTTGGGCTATACCAAGGAAAGCAAAAATTATGAAGTATTAGGGGTATTTTAGACATTTATGTCGCCCAAATCACGGTTCGATTGTGGTGGTAGGTCTTTGGATGAAATATTTTAATAAAATTGCATGTTTAATAATTTTACGGAAGTACATATTTGTTTGGTGCAAAACATTGTACAAGAGTGTGTTTAATAAAAATACATGATAGAAGAGCATATTATGTCTAGCGCATTTTTTCGGGAAAAGAACATATACTTAATAATGGAGCCATTTTTCGCGTATTTGAGCTGATTTGGAATCTTCCATCATTTCTGGTGTATGTGTAAAAACTATTGAGAATCGTCCTTGCTCATCTGTAGCAAGGAGCCTACAATTCAAGTCTCACATGACATTGCCAAATTTACATGGTTACACTTTGCATCCTCTTGGCTCAAATTGACAAAATATTTACACATTTGCACATTAATCAGAGCATCCTTCACAAGTAAAAGAATTAGAAACTTTCCCGCGCTTCCGCAAGCCTTGCCTCCGAGCTTTACCTCAAAACAAACATACATACATACATACAAACAAGACCGAACTAACTAAGCTGTCATCTTCGCTTCTTCTTCTCGGAGCTCGAAGACCTCTCGAATTCGCAGTCGAGGCCAAAGCATTTGAGGAATACCAGTTTAGCTAGCCGGATGTAGTTGCAGGGATGGTAGTTGGTCACAGCATCCCCCTCTACGGTGTCTTCACTCACTATTCTTCTGCCTGTGGTCGTCGTCGTCATCGCTAGCTCTCCTTTTATGCTCTGGCTCCTAGTCACCTGAGAAAGAACAATTTTTAGCAGCCGCGCGTTAGTCATTTGTTGATGCATTCAAATTCAGCTCTCAGTACTTTCAAGAATATGAACCGTGTAATGTGAATGCCATTCAGAAGCAGAGATTTCCTAGCAGGCTAGCCTTAGTATGAAGGCAAAAGGAGACTGATAAGTAACGAAGGTACCAAAGTGGGATTCCATGAGTAAAAAAGAATGAAGCTTTGGTCACCAGACATAGCTGATATACTCTTTCTAGTTCACAACCAATATGAGGAAACTGATCTAACTACTCTGGCTGCAACGAAAACAAACCGAAACTTCTTCCCGGTTTCAGCGACGCCTGAACAAGATCATTGCTTGACTAGTCTCATGACTAAGCTGACATGAACAGCAGAGGACACAACTGATTAGTTCGGTCAATTAGCAGCCGAGCTGCAGTCACTGATGTTCTACCATAAGAAAAACTGGCAGCATGAAGCCTGGAAGTGTAAGGTGCTTGAAGAAAGACCAATTACAGTTGACATTCAAAGCGGATATAGTATCAGATAGCAACAAGTTTTCTTGTGAGCTCTGAATAATTTAACGAATAAGAAGTTAGAAACCATCAAAGCCAATCCACCTTTCTTCTCTGCCCTACCATATATCATTGTCTATCCATTGATAAGACCTGCCCTTCTATTATTAATCAAAACTATCAGATGACAAGAACACAAGTCGACAACAAGAACAGCGAATAACGCTAGTAATGGACCTATGCGGATTTAATGAGTCGAAGATAATATTATCATTTATACTATTATATATTTCTTCGTGGAGTCCAATAGATGCTCACGTGTATCTCCCCTCCCTTTCTTCGCAAGAACAGTTTTTTAAATCTTTTCCATTAGAAATCATCTAACAATAAAAAAAGATTTAACCTTGGTTTGATACAATCAATAACGATTGGAGATTAGAAATCTCTCATTTCATGTAAAAGATGAAGGGCTGATTTGACTAGATGATCGACTCATCTTTAACAAACCTAACATTTGTAACATTTGTGGCGTATGCAGTATGTTATATGGTTCATTCAATTGACGGTTTCATTTAACAGAACAAATGGGGGGAAAAACGAAACTTTGCGAATGGTTTTCGCTATAAAAAAAAAAAAAAAAAGATAACCATATCAACGTGCGTGTGTAAAACGTTCTTTCACAAAATACTAAAATTCGTTAAACCGAGAATCAATCAAGTACCTAGAATATCACAAATGTCATCAACACATGGAACATTCACGCTACAAATGTCATTTCAAAAAGTTTCGTACCACAATTATCATTGTGAAATACCCTTTAAGATTTAAACCTACAAATCACCAATTTCACCATCAACCAAGCCGGTTATCATTACCCTGAGCAATCAAAAGGCGTTGGAGCAAAAGGCATAATGATGTCGACCAGACTTGTAACCTACAACCAACCATCATTACTGATCTTCAATCAAATTGACAACTACCCAAAATTCCTTCTTACTGAACTTTCTTCTAATCACTAGTAGGAAATTTTCCTAGCTCAAAATCCTTCTTTTAGCTGGATTGTGTTGATTAGGAGGTAAACAGTAAGAGTGTAAGGCCGTGTTTGGATTCCGAATCAACTATCATTATCATACAATTATTTTAAGAAATCATTTTGGCCCCTTTTATCAACTTGTTTACTTTGACTCTGAAACACGGCAGAGATCAGAGCAGAGACCTCTTCTTCCACATTTCCCCTAATTTCCTTTTCGTGGCTAACAGAAACCAAAAAGTTAACCGAAAAGCCAAACAGCTCCTATCGAGTTCATCAAACAAACAAAAATTCAGCAGTAAATTAAATCAAATTAAACAAAAAAAACAGTCTCACCAAACACTGACGGTAACGACACGCAAAACGGCCGAAAAGGAAGAAACGTAAAGCAATCGGCAGAAAGAAATTGGAACTAGAATCGGGGGAAATCAGTTAGACCTACCTGACAGTGGCGGACGTAATCGGCGACGGTCTTCGAATCATCGCCGCCGCCGTGCTTCGCGATCTTCTTTGTATCGTCGGAATCTCTGCTGTAGCTGGAGGAAGCCGAATCGGCGGAGGCAGCGACGGAGGATGATAAAATGGAGGCCTCGTCGTCGGGGGAAGTGATGGAGAAGCTGAAGCAGTAGAAGAGGAAGACGATGAGCAAGAGGACCAGAATCTGAATCCAGATTAGCCATGGAATCCTGTAGCTCTGGAGCGTCAGCTCGTCGCCGAAATCAAACATGATGGAGAGAAGGAAAAGAAAGATTATGACAAATTGGAGAACGGAAATCAGCAAGGCGGCGGCGGCGGCGAGGCGGAGGGGACTTTACCGGCGAGCGGCGGCGGGTGGGGTAGGTAGAGGGAATCGGAAAGCGAGTGGGGTTGGATGACTAAGCAAGGAAGGAAGGAAGGGAGCTTTTTATCAATGGAATGATCGAGGAGTCACTTCATTCCTTTTTTGTTTTTTTCCCTCTATCCGCGAGCAGGGAAGGAGCCGTTTTGTCCTTCTACGCACTTATTTAATGAAGATTATCAATGAAGTACCCATACTTTTATGCTGTTGCGTAACGGTACACGCAGTATGGATTCATTTGGTCAAGACGTCCCACTATTTAGTAATTAGGAGAAAATTATAAGCTTTGTGGCGCTTAGGTGGATGGTTTAGGTCAATCAAACCAGATGAGTTTGTCTACTATCATGAGTTGGTGGTTAGCCTAAAGTGACGAATATCGAACTAATGCGGAGTTTCTGGTCTCGCAACAGACGACAGGTTGTATCGGAACTAAAAAATTTTGATCTCGACCAATACATTTAGTACGTTGCGCCGAGACGTCTGGTGATATAAGATGATCGTGGATTAAATCGGCCTCGGAAATAAAATTTACTATTTTTTGGTAAATTAATCATTGAAAGCGGCCCAACTTTGCTAACTTCCAAGATTAGAGTTAAAAACTAATTTATTAAGCGGCTACTAGCAATACTACCCAAGGATAGGTATATAGTCTAGACCCTCTCAATTTTATGGTAAACGTAAGACCAATGTTATATCAACCGAATATTATTACATAATAATGAATCTCTAGTGGCGGTTGTTTTGTTTAATGAAATCCTTTGACCCCAAATATTAGTAATTACAGCATATTAAGAAGAAGAAAAAAAATTATGGGCCTTCTGAATCCGCCTCTAGTTATATCTTGGCATGGTGGGTTCATCCAAATATATACCTTTGATTTTCTTAATCAAATTAATTTTCTGAAATGCAGGACAAGATCCTCGTAAATTTATATTGCCAAAGTTAACTTAAATGTAATAAATAGTGATTAGAGTGGTTAATACTTTATACGATGTTAACTCTATAAAATTTAACACCATCGGAATTTGGTGATTGGAATTTGGAACACCATCGGCGCATTTAAAAAAAGTGGGGGAAAAAAAAAAACAAAAATTAGGAAGCAAGCAAAATGAGTATTAGAGAAAATTGGCAAAAAAGGGGCAAATCGAATTACAGGAAAATCAAATCAAATTTTCATCTTTCTCCCTCTGTTAAACAAACATCTCGCGAGAACCCAAAAACATCGGATCGTCATTTCCCCCAAAATCACGAGTCCCCGTCGTCGTCGTTCTCCGCCATCTCTTCCTTTCTCCTCTTTCTAATCTCGAAATCCTCTCCGCCCCCTTTGCCTCGCCGGCCAGCCGCTCGCCTCTCTCCATGGCAAACGCCTCCTCCCGTTTCATCATCGCAGTCCATTAATTAAATTAATGGGTGACCGAACGCCGCCGCGGACCAGCAACGCCTCATCCAATTCCCAAACTCCGACCCCACCGCCGCCTCCCCTACCGGCCGCCGCCGCCGCCGTCTCCCTCCTCCAGCCGGCCAGCAAGAACAAGAAATCCAAGCCCAAGGTCGTCCGCGTCTTCCGATCCGTGTTCCGCTCCTTCCCAATAATCGGCGCCCCGGCCTGCCGGATGCCGATCCTCCTCTCGAGCGGGTTCTCCGACGGGCCGAATCGGGGCGGGGTGTCGGGCACCCGGGTCACGGGCACCCTGTTCGGGTACCGGAAGGGCCGGGTCAGCCTCTCGATCCAGGAAACCCCCAAATGCCTCCCTTCCGCCGTCGTCGAGCTCGCGATGCAGACGAGCGTCCTGCAGAAGGAGCTCGGGTCGGGGATGCTCCGGATCGCGCTCGAGTGCGAGAAGCGGGCCGACAACGGCGACGGGAACAGCAGCGGTGGCAACAACAACAACAACGGGGGTTCTAACGGCAGCAGCAGCAATAAGATGAAATTGCTGGACGAGCCGCTGTGGACGATGTACTGCAACGGGAAGAAGACGGGTTACGGCGTGAAGAGGGAGGCGACGGCGGAGGATTTGCAGGTGATGGAGCTGTTGAAGCCGGTTTCCATGGGGGCTGGGGTTTTGCCTGGGAACGCGGAGACGGAAGGGGTGGAAGGCGAGCTGGCGTATATGCGGGCCTTTTTCGAGCGGGTCGTTGGGTCCAAGGATTCTGAGACTTTCTATATGTTGAGCCCAGAAGGGAATAATGGGCCGGAACTCACCATCTTCTTTGTCCGCGTGTAAAACTATAGAGAAGAGCAAAAAAAAAAAAAAAAACCTACCTTGACAATGGTGGCGGGCTGATCTCCTCGTTCTCTTAATTATTATGAAACTGAAATTTTGACTCATGTTCATCATAATAATAGGGTCTTATACTCTTATTTTGCCTCCGGCTGTTTGATGCTTTGTATGATGACCATCTATAACGAATGGTTAGTTGTGTTTAATGAAACGTCGAACTTCAATGTGAGATCACGACGAAGACAAATTTTTTTTGTTATCCAATCTGTTATAAAGTGGGGGATGTGAAGAGGAGACGGAGGAGGTATTTTTTCTGGACCAAGGTTACATCAGGCGATTTTTCAATTCGTCGGCAGTTAGAGAAACGACAAACTGTTTCTGTAGCGTCCACTGGAGTTGGAGTTATATTAGAGACAGTAGATTTTGTTATTGTTATTTTCTCCCTTCATGGGATATTTTTGTTGTTGTTGGGAGGGGGCTTTCAACTTGATTAAAATCTTTGATAGGGAGGGTGAGTATATGGTGTTCACCATCTGCATGATTTGTTGGGTTTTGGATGGTATAAATTATACATATACAATTGGCTTTGTTTGGATTTTTCTTTTGTTCATGTCACTAAGAAAATCATCACATGATAGTTTGTTCCATGACATTTTGCTCAATAAATATAATATAAGTATATGGAAATTGTTTAGATCGACTTGTTTTTCCGTGTAAATAGTGGTAACAAATAGATATAGAACAAGAACTCAAGAAGCAACCAAACGGGTTAGGCAATACTAATTAATTTGTCGACAAACGAGTCAGTTTAGCAACTATCGTTAATTCTTGTCATTCTTTCATTTTCACAAATGTTATTTGAACGGAATTTTGACATATGGCTGTTATAAACAGTTTTTCAAAGATTATAAGTTCAATATATTAATCTATTTTGCAAAAGGATAAAAATACTGAACTGCTCATAGAGTGGCACGCAAAGCCCTGTTGTTGTCCCGAACTCCCGGTTAGAATTAGATTTTTTAGATTTTGTTGGGTGGCTAGCTAGTGGGATAGGAAGGGATTATGACTTGTGGGTAGTATTCTTTTTAACTATTTTCTTGGCATTTCTCGAAGAAAAAAAATACTGAAAAATTTCCAAATACCTTAACCTTGACCGTCTGACCCAACCGACCAACCAATCCATGGTTGGTTGGTTAAAACTTAAGTGACCAGATTATTATCATATTAGAACGTTAAACCAGGGAGGGAAAATTCAATTAACTAGATTCAACAAAAATAAATAATCAATAAAATAATAAAATAAAAGCAAATATAATATCTCACACCACAGCTTTCGAAAACTGATCGTAAGCTTTCACCCCCTTTCTCCATCCTTCTCCACATTTCCGCGCCAATCCATGGCTCAGCTGAGCTCCATCTCGCTCTCTCCAGCTTGTATCTCTTCTCCCGCGTCCACCTCCGCCGCTCCGTTTCTCCTCCTCCCCGTCTCTCGTCGATTCGACTCCTCGCTGCGCCGCCGCGGGTTCCCTGCCCTAGCTACCCTCTCCATGACTTCCGAACTCTCCCGCGCCGCTTCCTTCGCCGTCGGCGAAAGCTTCCCCGACGCTTACGGCGACTGGCTTCCCAAGCGTGATCCGGGGTCTCGCAGGAGAGCTGGCGTCTTGCTCCATCCTACTTCCTTGAGAGGGCCTCACGGCATTGGGGATCTCGGCCAGGAGGCGTTCCGGTTCGTCGATTGGCTGAGCGACGCTGGTTGCTCCGTTTGGCAGGTTTGTCGAATTTCTGTTTGAATTCGCCGAGTCACGGGAATGATCTGGAGGAGAGCGATTCTACATGATAGTTTTCTTCAGAAATTAAATTGTCTGCATAGGCGCCGAGAGTGGTGTATAATTATGGTTTTTGTCCTCCTTGTCATATTTTATGCAATGCAGTAAAGCTTAGCAGAATCAATGTGTCTGTTTTACAGGTTCTCCCGCTAGTTCCACCTGATGATGAAGGATCACCGTACTCGGGCAAGGTGACTGTTCCTGCTGAGAAGCCTTAGCTTTTGAGCATTTGTAGTGAGAACTGTCGAAATGCATCTTTCTGGTGTTGAACTCGGGACATTTCTGTGCATGTTGACTGAATGGTTGAACTCTTGCTCAGGATGCTAATTGTGGTAATACCCTCTTGATTTCTCTCGAAGAACTTGTAAAGGATGGTTTGTTGTCAGCAGACGAGCTTCCGGAACCTATGTGAGGAATTTTGGTGTATTTGCCTGTGGATTGGGAGATCATAGTGTTGGTGCTTTGTTAGCTGACCTCTGTGAATATTTCACTGATTGTGCAGAGATGCCGAACGTGTAAATTTCTCTGCTGCTTCTGAATTGAAGGATCCTCTGATCACCAAGGTAAATTATCAAGACCTGAACAATTGCTGTTGAGTTCTTGTTGTTCTATGGCATGTAACTCTGGTAGAAGCGGTCTTCAGGTTAATTGAAGAAAAAAGTCCCCAATTATCAAGTTCTGCACATTTTAATCTTGAGGTTAATTGAAGAAAAAGGGCCGCATTGCTAAGTTCTGCATATTTTAAGTTAGACTCAACTAGATTTACTCGAATTTTTATTAAACCTTTTGAGTTGATCTAAACATGTGAATAGCAATTATTTCATTGCATGCCTATTCTTAATTCAACAGCTTACTTACAGTGGACCTTTCATAGGCTGCAGAGAGATTGGTTAAGAGTGACTCTAACCTTAAAAGACAGCTTGATGATTTTCGTAAAGACCCCAGCATAGCAAGTAAGGCTTCTATTTGTCGCTATTATCACACATGCACCTGATATGCATTGGTAACTTGGGTTACATACCATGCCATTTTGTTTTAGCCTATGATTTTGGTAAAGTAATTGGATGCAGAGCTAGTAGTTTAGGTAACTGCTTTCTTCCCAAAGGCCATTTCTGCGAATGTTATTTTTTCATGAAATATGTTCTGATCAATTTTTCTTCTTTGAGTTAGTTACTAAGATGTGTCTCCGTTTTATGTGGTTTGTGTTCCTTGCTTTAGCTACTCTCCCCTTGTAATGCTGGTAACATGACATACTCTCTGTTTGCCAGAGATAGATGCTTTAAAACGTAGCCACTTTTGCAGGCTGGCTTCTAGATGCAGCTTACTTTGCTGCAATTGACAATTCGACGAATGCACTGGACTGGTACCAATGGCCCGAACCTTTGAAAAATCGCCACCTTGCAGCTCTGGAAGACATTTATGAACGTGAAAAGGATTTTGTACGGATCAATACAACTTCTTTTTACTTAATTAATCAATTGTGTCTGGGTGTATGAGCCCGATGCTGGAGGCACTAACTGTTACCCTACTTGGTTTCTCTGGCCCAGATAGATATATTCATTGCACGGCAGTTCTTATTCCAGAGGCAGTGGCGGAAACTTCGTGCCTATGCACAGAAGAATGGAGTCAGTATAATGGGAGACATGCCCATCTATGTCGGCTATCACAGTGCTGATGTTTGGGCCAATAAGAAACACTTTTTACTGGTAAGGAGCTCTCTGTGAATGCTTCTGGATTTTCTCCACATGCAGGTTAGCCGTACTATGCTCTACCATTTTTTGTCATCAATTCTACTTTCTTACTTCTAGAACAAGAGCGGCTTTCCTCTTCTGGTTAGTGGTGTTCCTCCTGACGCCTTCAGTGAAACTGGTCAATTGTGGGGCAGGTCTGTCCGGAACTCAGCTCTAAACCATATTTTTATTCTTTGAATATTCCTTTTCGTTTCCAGTTTTATTTGCAGCTCTCTGTCAATGAGTCCGGAAGGGTTAAATAACAACAGAAAGTGACTTTCATTCGAGAGCTAGCAAAGCCTTATATGTTGTGGGTGAATTTCTTTGTTGGTGTCTTTTCTAGTTAGGGTGTCATTGAAATTTGAAACACACAGTATTTGTAATTCTACACGTTTTTAGTAATGCCCATTGATTATGCAGATAAAAAAGAAGAGCAAATTTTTGGAAAGTACTGATGGCAAATTAAGACTTGAAAGCATCTTTGTCTATAATTTACAAGCAGTTAAACATCTGCCACAAATTTCAATAGGCATTTGAACTGAATGAATCCAAATTGATGACAAATTTTAGATCTTTAGTTTATAAGTACATTGGCCTTGATCTCCAAATGATTGGAATTCTCTTCAAGGTGCAATGTGTTTTGAACCTCATTTCCCAAGTTACTCTCCAACTTGGAAACTAAAGGATGAGATACTGGTTGAAGTATCTCTGTTGGTGGTTCATGTTCATGTTCCGTCTGCGACACTCTTTGTGTAATCTATATTATATTGTATTATGATAAAGCATACACCTTATCTGACTTCTGTGTACTCCATGCGAGTTCTCTTCTATAATGCTATTTGGTAGTGCTAATATGCTATTGCTTCCAGCATTAGATGTCTGAGTCTGTATCAATAGCATTAGCAACGACGCACTAATACCAGAAACGATAATTGCTTAGTTTCATGGATTGTGTTTTTCGTTCTCCTTGTCTCTAGTTTTTTTTCTGATGCTTTCTTTAAGTTTGTCTTACTTAATCCACCAAATGTTTACCCAACATCAGTGAACTTACTAGTTAACTTGACATTTGCCCTGAAGCCCTTTATATCATTGGAACTCCATGGAGAAAGATGGCTTTTCATGGTGGGTAAAACGCATAAGACGGGCTCAAGATCTATATGATGAATTCAGGATAGACCATTTTAGAGGGTTTGCTGGTTACTGGGCTGTGTCTTCTGGTGAGGATATTTCAAGTTTTATCTATTATTGTTTTTAATTTCAAGTTTTATCTATTATTGTTTTTAATTTTGAAATAGACACGTCATGCTAATGATAAGTTGCATCAATATGCAGAGGCAAAGATAGCAATGATTGGAAACTGGAAGGTCTATTTTATTTCATTCAAGCAATATTTATGTTGCAGCTCTCTGTGCTATTATTGACTTGGTCCTTTCTTTTGATGACAGTAGGCAGGACCTGGAAAGTCCTTGTTTGATGCTATCTCTAGAGCTGTTGGTGATATAAAGATAATAGCTGAAGATTTGGTAAGCATTTTTCTGTCGAAGAGACAGTTGTTTCCCCCTTTTCCTTGTTACAGTGAGCTGAACAATTGCAAACATATTACTTCATGACAATTAGTGAAGCTCTTTGGTCATGGAGAAGCTTTTAATTCAAAAGTTTAGCTATCAATCACACTATAATTTTCAGTGGTTTTGCAATATTATGAGGACTAGTTAAAAAAGTTATGACTCCAAAAATTCATACCTTCCTGCCCCAACTTTCTTATTTGGGGCGATGAAAGAACCTTCTATTCTGCAGTGGACACCAACTCATTTTCTTTGTTATTTTTTTTCTCTGCATCATGGAAACAGTTGCTGTTATGACCATAGCTCAAGCTTAAGTGTCATGGACATTTCATCATAAGAAAATTCCATCCAGCTGCATGTTCTTTATTAAATTTGGGCAAAAATAATCTTTCTCGTATTTCAGCTTATCTGGATGACCATAATATTCTGACACCTTTAAGTGCAATTGCAGGGAGTAATCACTGAGGATGTAGTTGAGCTCAGGAAATCCATTGGTGCACCCGGAATGGCCGTGCTCCAATTCGGTAAAAAGCTGTCTGCTTGTATTTCCACCCTTTTGTGCCAAGCGCTCTGCTTTTCTTAACTGCTTTGCGTTTGCTTGGTTCAGCTTTTGGAAGTGATGCAGAAAACCCGCATCTGCCTCATAATCACGAGGCCAATCAAGTTGTGTACACCGGAACTCATGATAATGATACGGTAAGAGTCAATCTATGCTCCAAACGATTCCAGTTACAGCTGTAATCTTCCAATTGGAAGATGCTAGGAGAGACTTGCAAGCGAAGAAACATCGTCTGAAGTTCTACATAATAACCTCAAGTGAATGAAACTGAAGTAATGGTGTCAAGTTAATGAAACTGAAGTAATGGTGTCCCTCTGCTGATAATTTTCACTTTTCTTTATAACTGTAACAGATTCAAGGCTGGTGGGATGTTCTGCAGCAAGAAGAGAAGATGAACGTGAGTTTTTTTTGTGAATCATACACTTCCTTTAACACAGAGAATTGACATCCAGTGCTATACTGTCAAAAGCGATAACTAATTAGCGTTTGCCACATTTTATTTATTTAAGGTGTTGAGGTATACTTCAATCGCTGAAGAAGATGACATCCCATGGGCATTGATCCGAACTGCACTCTCGTCAGTTGCCCGGACAACAATCATACCGATGCAAGATATTCTTGGTCTGGGGAACTCCGCAAGGATGAACATTCCAGCTACCCAGGTAAAAAGCACCTCTTACTAATTTTTGCAGCCGAATAATATGACCTTTGTAGGCAAATGCAATAATCAGACCGTTAAGGCTGCTTTTGGTTTTCATAGCCTTGTTCCAGATTTGAAAAAACAGCCATTTCGTGCAAATCCTGAGACTGGCCTAGATGTGGCAAATCCACTCCACTGCAGTGGCTCGAGTTAAATATAACTGACCTGAATCGTGTGAATCCAAATCCATTGAGTTGATAGGTTACCCTGAAATACCTGGCATAGATGTATATACGAACGATGCCGAATCTTAAGCATCCAAGCTCTCCTCTAGTCCTTGGCAGCCTCTTGCGTCTGGTGCCATCCATTGACTTGCATCTTGCATATTATAGCTAGCATGTTTAACCTCCCTCATGTATCTAACTCAAGTCATCCTGCCTCGTGTTTTATATTTCACAACAGACTGGGAACTGGAGTTGGAGGATGCCGAGTTCCACGAGTTTTGACCAGCTAGGAAAAGAATCCAAGAGGCTGCACGAGTTGCTTTCATTGTACGGACGCCTGTAAGTGAGGTGACTATAATCATAGACCATGAAAGCCGTATCACTGGCCAGTAAGTTATTATTCCTGTACGTAGTGCAATTTTTCTCTTCACAAAGTTTCTTTACATTTCAAATAAACCCCATTTTGGCTTACCAAATGTAATGACAGTTACACAAATTCGCAATAAAGTAAACTCTTCATCTTCTTCTCTATGCCACTTCCCTTCATTATAGTTACTTTATCTTAATTTCAGCGCATTTTTACATGGTCCTAGAAATAGAAACAGAACTTCTGGAGATACGAGGCAGCAGCTGCTTTGCTCGATGGCAGCAGCAGCAGCTGCTTCCTCTATCATTCTTAGCAGGCAAAGATACAATTGGTGCAAGAATTAGCCGCCTGGGAAAGAAAAATTAAAGAACGATTGCTTACTGCCCATCTGGTGAGATTTTGTTGCTGATCTTTGCTCAGATTTGGCTTAGTCCTGTCTGAGAACCTCTACAGGCCAAAGTAGGTAAATCTTAAGTTGCTATTGCAAGTGTGCAGCCTAGTCGTCTCTACAACTGGCACTGTTGAATTCGAATACCTGAAGGGTGAAAAGGTCGGCTGACCTGACCACTTTGTCATACTGCAGACTCTCTCTGCAGCCAGTCCAGCCATTGCAACAACTGCCAACCTGAGAAGTGAGAACAGGAGAACGCAGTTGGCTCAACGCGTCATAATAGTAGAGCACTTCGGAGCAATGTGTTGTCAGAGAATTACCTATCCAGTTCTTTGGAATCAAGATGGCTGCTATAATATCAACTTCTCCAGCTTCTCGTCGATGAGACTTACATGTTCTTTTCCGATATCCAGCGAGTAACCCAGGGATCGGACCTAGGAAGTGAGCAGCTTCATGTCTAGTTATCCTGTCCTGGAAATCCAGGAAGAACGAGGAAAAGCCACCTAGGATGTAATGTAAGAGTTTGATGATCAAATTAACAGATTAGAGAGTATAAAGGATTAGACTATAATTTTCCCAAGCAACGGGAAGGGTAAAATAAAAAAAAAAATACTGGTACGAAAATTAACTCCCTTATGGTTCGTTAACGTGATTGACAATGCGGCCAGAAATCCAAACCTCCCTAAAACCCTAATCTCTGCGTCTTTCCTTCTTCTCCTTCATCTTCTCTCCAGTCTCGATCGGAAGTGAGGGCTGAAAATGGCAGTGACGAAGCTCCTGCTCTCTCAATCCCGCCGCCACTTCACCGCCAGAGTTCCCTCTCAGTTTTTGCAATCTCAGAGATGGTTCTCCTCCGATTCGGATCCCAATCCAGCTCTACCTCCGCGAGTTTCACCAGTGCTCGTCCAGCCAGTCTCCTACGCCCCGAAGCCGAAGCAACCGGAGCCGGAGCCCGAAGCCGCGTCTTCGGAAATGAGTAGCGCTCAGCCGTCGCATCAGCAGGAGCAGTTCACGAGACGGCCGCGGGAGTTCCCTGCGAGGCCGGAAGCTCGGTCGAATTGGACGCGGGAGGAAGCCCGATACGTGAAGGACGCGCCGACCGTTGTGCCTGTTTCGTACGCGCCTCGAGTGGCGCCGTTGCCGGAGGACAAGGTCGGAGCTGAAGGAGGAGAAGGTGGCGGTGGTGATGGCGTGGAGGTGAGTGCTAAGGACGGGGAGGACATGAAGTCGGAGACTCGCCGGATTTTGTCGGAAAACCGGGCGATGAGGCGGATAAGGGAGATGGTGCCGGGGAAAGAGCTGGAGGTTGTTCCTTTTCCTAGATTGATCGTGCCGGTGAAGAGGACGGAGAAGAGGGCGCTTTTGGAATTGATGGATGCCATTCGTCAAGTCAAGGTCTGTTTTGGCACGCCCTTGGTTGGTGCTTCTAAGTTTGATATCCTTAAGTTCTCTGGAAATTGGACTGCTGACTGTTTCTTGCTACAAATTGCACAGGCTAATGCCAGGACGACATTTGATGAAACTATTGAAGCGCATGCGAGATTGGGCATTGACAAATCTCGATCAGACCTGGTGGGTGCCGAAATAGAATAGGTAGATTGTTGTATTGCTTCCTTCTGTTGTTACTAGTTAGCCTGTCGAAATTGAATTGCATAGATATTAAGCTTACCCTATCAGGGAGTTTGAGAGTCCCACAAAATGTGGATTTTATGGCTAGTTTAAATTGTAGATGAAAGGCTTTTTCCGGGTGATTTTTAGTCAGCTGACTTCTGAACCAACGCCTTGGTTTGGACATATCTTGAGGGAAATCATCTTAATAGTTGTTAGTGAGTATACCCTGACATTCATATTTACTTAGAAGAAAGGAGTTTCAGTTCCTCAAGGGCAGATGTCACAATTGGCTGTCCTGAGGATTATCAAATTGATTGCTTCTCTTTTAACCCAACTAGCTGCTAATTGTATAGCGTGCCTGCTGTTAAAAGTGAACACCAATAGTATGCTCAAGTGATGCTCTTATGCTTCCTATACTCTAGTCTCCCTTGAGTTAATCTTGCTTTGGCTGTGCTGACATACTGTTAATCAAACTGTAGATTGTTCGAGGCACCTTAACTTTGCCACATGGGGGAGAGAAGGTAAATATTGTGAATTCTTCTGGATTTTGCTGTGATTTTGATTTTGTTTTCCTCAACTTGAGAAATTCTTCCTTCCACTGTTCCTTGTCAGGTTCTGAAAGTGGCCTTCTTTGCTGAAGGGGCAGAAGCAGAAGAAGCAAGAGCTGCAGGTGCCGACATTGTTGGAGGAGTCGAGCTCATTGAAGAAATTTTGAGTATGATCGCTCTTTTTTATTATAATAACATTGCCTTTTTCTTTTTTGCTCTCTATTGAATTGAATTCCTATGTAATTTACTATTTGGCCATCTGCCTGCAGAGTTATGATTGAAACTGTTCTCACTGTGGAAGCTTGTTTGAAAATATTTATTGTTAGAACATTCAATTCCAAGCTTTAAAGGTCATGATTTTAAGTTGGGCAGACTTATTCCTCGTTTTTAAATTCAAAGCTGACTCCATTGACTTGAGATTTGTTGTGCTCTCTTTTATATTTAAGTTGCTTGCTAGTACTTGGGGGAACAGAGTCATTGATAAAAGTTTCATCGTTTTATGACCTAAGGTGCTGGCAAGGTTGACTTCGACAAATGCTATGCAACTCGTCAGTTGTATCCACGGGTTGCCAAGGTTGGAAGGCATACTATTTACTATATACTCCAGGTCGCAAACTTTCAACAGCCAGTTTAACAGATCTTGCTTTTCTATTTTTCCTCTCTGCAGATAGCGAGGATCCTCAACCGTCATGGTTTGATGCCTGATGCAAAGGTGAGTGTTCTCCCCTAGTATTGATGTTTGAGTAATTTGTGCACCAACTAATTCAAGTTTTTCTCACTCCTGTGCTTGTTTTTCATTTTAGCAAGGAACTGTTGTCAGTGATGTTACTAGAGCAGTTAAAGCAGCAAAACAGAATCAGATAAAGTTTAGAATGGACAAGTCATCCATTGTTCATGTAGGACTTGGAAAGGTATGTTGTTGTCAGTAATTATGCTGCATGCATGTGGTCTCCAAACCCCCATGCTGGTCAGTAAGCTCCTTTGTTCTCATTTGCAGGCGAGTTTCAGTGAAGAGTCTTTACGTGAGAATATTGGAGCTTTTATGAATGCCCTTCTACAATCAAAACCTGCTGGCTTGAAGAAAAGTGAGTGTTCTCTGGTTTCTCTGTTGCCAGTTTATGAAACTGTATGACCTAATTTTATGCATTAATTTTTTTATTATCGTTGTTAGACATCTAAATCTCTATGATTTGAAGATCATTAGGTACAATTTGCTTTGTATTCGAAATGCATATGGACAGTTTTTTTTTAGCTGGTTTCTTCTACCACATCTCTGAAGTAGTGTATGGTGTGTTACAAATTAGTTAGCATGAGTTAAAAAGTTGTGTTATCTACCTAACTATGTTGTGGCGAGGAGAAAGCTGTCTAGAATGTTTGAAAATACGAGCTGGATGTATATATCCATTAGGGTACCTCCTGTTGGTTTAGCATGGTCTCTCAATGGCATCGAATATGATGCCTACTGCTGTTGCTGACCTTGAAAACTTCCAAGCTTTGATCATTTTCGTATCCTGCTCTTGCAGCTTCTAAATATGCTGGATATGTGAACTCCTTCCATATATGTAGCACGGTAAGCTTTACAGAAACCTTTTCATTTTTTATTGCCTGCTAAAAGCTTCTAATTAATTGCTCACCTCTATGGCATGTTTGCTAAGGAAAACTCAAAATCTATATTTTCTTTTACCCTATTTCTATATGATGGCAACCTCTTCCTTTGTTACTTTATTCTCAATTAGTCAATGGTTGAAAACCACTGAAATAGATATGGAAGGGAGATAGGAGCAGCAAAATCCTTGGAGTTGATGACTGTTGTTGAAACCTCAAACGCCATAAATTATAGTCAAGTTTCCAACTAAGCCTTTTCTAGCCTACTACCAAATGTTTGTTGGTAGCTTTAGTAATGTTACATAATGTGGAACTGGTTCCAGAACGTTTGAATTCCCGAAGCGATAATTCTATTTCATCTCATTATTGCAGATGGGGGAAGGATTTCCCATTTCAATACAGTCTTTGTCCAAAGCTGTAGACCATTACAACAAAGCTCATCCCAAGTCATGATGGTACTTGCACCGTTCCAGCCGCAGATGTCTCTTTATCTGAAAGTTCACCAAGATAGAAATTCTAACGCTCCGCCTCTATCTTTCATGCTTTAATCTCTCAGGTATACAAATTCGGACGGAAAATGATTACACCACTTGCTCAAACAAGCTACCCCTTCACTTCTAGCATGGGAAACTCCTTGCATTATTTTTGCTTCTCTCCCACCTGGGAATGTTCAACATCTCCGCTGCAAAAAAAATGTAGTTATCCACCTGGAGAAACTGTCTTCCCCAGTTGGAAACTAGGAGATCGATGTGGTACTGGAGATGCTGCTATTTGCGGATTATCTATTGTGATACGAAGCGGTTTTAGCATGAAGTAGAGATTCGTTTGTTTCAAGTGTATTTAGGAATTTAGGTTTTTTGATAACATGGAAGAGTCAGCAATGTAGTCGTCGGCTGGTGTAGTTCGAGTTGAGTAATGAAGGTGTGAAGCAATAAGAAATAAGACTCTTCAAACGACATTTTCTCAATGCATCCTTCTGTGCGCTTCAGTAGCAAAATTAAAAATGGAGTTGTACTCTGTCTCGGTAGACAATTTGTTTGATTTCTTCGTCCTCCAACACATGATCTAACTTGGTTTCTCGGAACCCTAGCTCGTCGCCGCCCCCTGGTTTTCTTCTATATTTTCATGAATGGCAGTTGATTTCTCGGAACCCTAAACCCAAAACCGAAAACCATAATCGAAACCCGAAACAAAACCAAAAATAAAAAAAAACTGATAATGCATCTCAGCCTCCGCCGTTGCCTTTTACGGTATTGGATAATTTCTGCCATTCCTGAAAATATAGTAAACCAATTGAATCATTCTCAGCCATCCCTGCTCTGGATTGGCACTGAGCTAGGATGCCCTAGTTACGATAGTACAAATTTTTTTCTTCTTCTTCTTCTCTTGGGTGACAATTCGCCAAGGTATATTATAACTAGTCACGGTATACAATTAGTCATGAAACTTTATATTACGACAAATTTCTCGTGCCTAAATTTATTAATCACGAAGAATATTCTTTTCAACACGGGATTTTCCCCGTGAATAAATGGCCTTTTTCTTCTGTAGTGATTCCTCTTCGCCGTTGTTCAATTCATCCATTAACTATTGAGAACCAGAGAGAGAGAGAGGGAGAGAAAGCCATTTTCAGGCGTGCGTTTCGAAATCCCAAAGAAACACGTGCATGCATGTTGACATGCAGCAGCGAAAAGACGTGCATTAGATCCACAGTAATGGCAAACGACAACAACTATTACGAGAGAGATGGCAAGACCAAAACTTTGGAACTTTTTCATTGACTAGATGATAAAAATAAAAAACAAAGAGCTTAAAACACTAAACTTAAATCCATGCTAATTGCAATTCTTAGTTGCAAATAACATAATCACGCCATTAAGGCCTTCCAATCAACCAACTACCAAACCCATCAAACTACCCAACCCATAACAAACCAACCCTAAAGGACTTCAAAACCAAATCCAAACCATCCACAAACCACTTTTACTTCCTAGCCACGACCACAGCATGCAAAGGGTGCTTCATCTCACACGACAGCTTCAGCACCTCATCGAGACAAACCGGCCTGCCCGAATCCTCCTTCCACTCGAACCGGTTCACCAGCCTCGCCACCCAAAGCGCCACCGTGTTCATCCCCAGATTCTTCCCCGGGCAGACCCTCCGGCCAGCCCCAAACGGAGCCAGCCTGAGATCCCCACCGCGCACATCCACGTCACCGCCTTTCTCCAAGAACCTCTCGGGCCGAAACTCCAACGGGTCCGACCAGACCTCCGGGTCGTGGGTGATGGCCCACATGTTCACCATCGCGGTGGTTCCGGCTGGGACCACCATCCCGTTGCTGAGCTGGACGTCCGACGTGGACAGCCTGGCCCACGACAGGAGCGGGCCCGGCGGGTGGACCCGCAGCGTCTCTTTCACCACGGCCTGAAGGTACGGCGATTTCGCCACGTCAGCATCCGACAAGTCAGCAGCTATGGAGTCCAGCTCGGCACGCAGCTTCTGCTGGATTTCCGGGTGGAGGACCAACTCGGCCATCACCCACTCGGTCAGCAGCGCGGTTGTATCGGTTCCCCTGAATATCATCTCCTGCACAAAAAAAAAAAAAACAACTTGCCCGAGTCAGACTCAGTATTGTGAAACGTTTCGAAACGGGAGAATGAAGACGGACGTATCATTTAATTTGTAGTCATTAAACCGGGGATTAGGTGCATTAATAGTGTTATTTAGGGAAAAAAAACGTATGACATACGTAAAATTTATATTTATAATTAACATACCCATAAGACGGCGATCATGTCATCCTCCTCGAGCTTCTCCTCTCCTTCCAACGACAACAACACGTCGACGAAATCGCTCCCATCGCCGCCGTCCACGTGTCCACCACCGAGTCGGACTCGGTGCTCTTGTATGATACCTCGGACGAGTTCCCTGACACGTGGCACGAGCTCGGCGCACCGCTCGTTGATCCTGCACGGGTCGTAGAACCAGCAGAGCCAGGGCAGGTAATCGGACCAGTTGAACGCGCCCAACAGGTCGAACCCTTCGCGAACCATCTCCTCCAGCCGGTCCAGCTCGAACTTATCCTCCACGGCGTCGTACCGCTTCCCGAAGACGCTCCCCATTATGTTGTTCAGCGACGCCAGCTGGAGGTGGGGACGCAGCTCCACGCGTCCCCGCGCCGCCTGCTCGACGGCGACGTCGTCGAGCATGGCGGCACACTCGGCCTGCCTCATCGGTTCGTGCGCCGCGACGCGGCGCGGGGAAAAGAGGTGGGCCGACGCGATTTTCCGGAGGAGGCGCCAGTACGGGCCGTTGGGTGCGAACCCGATGGCGCGCTCGAACATGAGGCTGCGGGCCGACCGCTTGACGGGGCGGTCCGCGAAGCCGACCGAGGTGAGGATCTCGCGGGCCGTGGCCGGGTCGGAGGAGACGACGAGCCGGGTGGAGCCGCCGAGGCTGAGGGCCATGAGCTGTTTGTTGTTGGGCCCGGCCCAAGCCATGGAGGCCAGGGTGCGGTGGGCCAGGCCGCGGCTGAGGGCGAAGAGGCTGCCGAATATTGGGAGTCCTCGCGGGCCTGGGATTTGGGCCGGGACGCGGGAGGTGCGGCCGTGGCGCCATGCGGAGCCGCCGGGGGTGAGGAGCCAGGTGGCGGCGGCGAGGGAGAGGAAGGCGGCGAGGAGGGAGAAGAGGAGGTAGTACGCGTCGCCATCGCCGCCGCCGCCGCCGCCGAGGAAGGTTTGGGAGCCGAGGAATGCGGGGAGGGTGAAGAAGTACCAGTTGGTGTCTTTGGAGCTCATAAGGAAGTTATGGTGATCGGTTGTTTCCATTTTTTTTTTTTTGTGGTGAAAGAAAGCTTTTTTTGCTTCTGTTTTTTTGGAGGGGAAATGGGAATGTGGGAGAAGAAGGGAGGAAAAGAGAGGTATATATAGTGGAAGGGGAGAGGTAGAGAAATGGTAGGTTGGGTTTTTAACATTGAATAAACTTTTGGGGTTCCAATGAAAACGGAAGAAGAGGAAGAAAGGAAAATCAACGTTTTTGGGGAGGAGAGAAATCGGTTTGAATTGCTTAGGGGGGTGATGTGGTTACATTAATGGTATTATGATTTTCCCTATGTTATTAGTTGGGTGATCTATGTAAGATTTTATGTTTTCTAATAGTCAATTTTATTACTAGAATGAATGTTAGATTTTGATTTAGGAGGGGTTGAAGATCATGGAAGTATGTCAAAATGGTAGACATGACTATGATTCAATTATCGAATTTGGATTCGTGTCTCGTTATGTTGTGGGCGTAGAAGTACGAGTCTATAGAACATATCCCGTTCAATTAAGGTTGTATTTGAGAGGGCTGAAGTAAACTTGGGTTAGAGAAAGAATGAGGGGATGAGATGAACTTCTTATATGTCGAAGAATATAATGAATATGTTTTTTTTACAATCTAATAAGATTGGAAGTTTTATCGTCTGGAAGTGAATATTATCTTGATGAGATCTATTTGTAAAATATTGTTGCTTCAGTATTGTGATGACACAAACAACATATTTCCGAGACTAGAGACAAGAATTATAGGAAAAAAGTATCGATCGGATTTAATCTTATGTTGAATAACCCTCCAAAAATTACTTACATATTCAAATGGTTTAAGTGTTACATGAGATATCTTGCTAATATTTTCTTATACCTTGGGTTATAGCATAACAAGAAAGATGCTTAAACATCACATAATTGTCAATAATTAGGTAATCAATACGTCGTAGTTACGTAGCAAGGTTAATGAATTCGTTCCAATTCGAATACTAAACTGTCTTATCGGAACCTCTCTAATAATTTGATGTATAGGGACATTAATCAATATTTTAATTAATTAATTAATTAATTATCCCAGTACTAATATTTAACAGTATATTAGTTTACACTTAATACCTAGCTACATGTGTTCGTTATCAAGTGAGATATGCATGCAGGGTGGATTGGAAACTGGAAAGTCTAGTTATATATTTCTCTTACATTATATGGAAAATGATAGGGCAAATTTTTTTTTCTTTTTATAAAATCACGTATCACCAATCATATATATAACCCAAATACAAATATATTAGGGGTGATATTATTCAATTTATAAGTTTTGTAACTCTAAATTTTGAGAGCATGTTACATATGATTAGTCAATAGCCAGGTTCTTATAATAGTCCTATTATTGGGATTAAGATAGCGCTCCAATAATTTGTCGGTTATGGATAATACGTTTTAGAAGTCTTTTTTTTTTTTGTTTGTCTCAAAATAATGATTATGTAAACGAGTTCTAATTCTCAACGGATATATGATGAGTTAAGGTGTAGTAATTATCTTTGGCGGTTGTGTCTCCTTTGTGTAGGTTATACAATTTTAGACTACTCTAATATTTTGTAGTCTATATATTAAGTGAATTATGTTTCAATTATGTTGATGGTTTTTCCAAAAAAAGCATTAGAATGTGATTGTCTACTTTTATTATGTTCCATAACATGCACTAATTTCATTCGACCGCGGTTCAGTTAGACGTATCATGCACGAATATTCGTACTTTTCGAATGGGCGTGGTGACATTCTGATCTCTACAGTTTATTCGTACATTCTGATGTCTAGAGTGCTATCAAAGTGTTATAAACGCGCTGCTACGTATCGGGAAATCGTCGGAATCAATAAAGCAAGAATACGAAAGCGAGAATCGAAAAACACAGACACACGATTTACGTGGTTCACTAACACGATTTGTGTTAGCTAGTCCACGAGCGAGAGAGAGTCAGTTTCCCTATATCGAGGAGATTACATATTACAGATTACAGAGGAGTATGAGAAGTATTTATAGTACTTCTCCATGTGGGTCTAAACCTAATCAAATTTGGCAAAGAAAACGGTTACAAACCAGGCCCAGAATCCGAACCCAAATAACATTGAGCCCATGCACCGCGGGCGCGGGACCCCCGACTACCAGTCATAGCGGCTGATAGTTCGATTCAAGTCACATCAACACAAAGGAATTGTGTGATCTCTTTTTGCTTGCTTGATAGTCCCTCGTTAGAGGAGAAGCTTTGGGATTCAGTTTTATTTCGTGTGCCCACCCTGTTTCTTCGCTCGATCTTCTTCTTCACACGAGGAGGAAATATATGTTAAAGAAACAAAGCTTGGGAGAGAGAATGGCCGCTCAGCAAGAGACTAGCCGTCTTTCTTTCGTCTTCTCAGAAGAGAAATTCGATGCCTGGCTGCCGGTTTGTTCTCTCGAGTGATCACGTGGATGATTATGTTGCATGTTGATTACGTTCTCTACTTTATAGTTGTGTTGTACATGTTGCCATTATTGGATCACTCTTTTTTCTTTTCAATGTTCAGTTTCTGACTTCCTATATATATATGCTTGTACTCAAAGTTAAGAATGTGTTTACACCTAAAAAATAATTTGATATCACATTGAATATTCACAAGACATTGAGTAGGATAGTTATCGATCGGGCGGGGTTTGGTGTCGAACTTAACTCAAACGCGCTTACTAACGGGTTGGTTATTCTGAGCAATCGAACCCACCTACATTCTTTCTTTGATTGGATATATGATGGGTGACCGACAGCCCAATTCGCCGATGGCACCGATTGACTACAATTTATGATAAGTTACACATAAATTAGGAAGATTATAGCAATCTTAGGCACTTTCCGTCTTGTATCCAATGGATTCGACCAGTACTTGTGATGTGCAAAGTTTTCATTATTCATATAAACGTTCATCTGAAAACTCTGGATAAAATATTATTATCTAACAGAGAAAACAAAGTCTCTAACCACATATTCATATGGATCAAGCTCTTCACACATGTGGCCTGCATTCTCAGAGATGAAATCTTTTCATCACTAGTCCATCAACTAGTTGTAAAGAAACTTGGCATTTATTCCACGTCGACATAGTTTTTATTTGTAATTTACATCTAGAAAACAACAGTAGTATAGTAGTCCGAAAAAACTCTTTGCTTTCTCGCTTTAAAAGTCGATTGTCGATGCGCGACGTGAATAAGAAATATGAGGACCCTTCGATTAGATGAAAAAGAAATGTCTATTTACCATGTGAAAGTCACGTACATGTCCTTTGCGTGACCCACAACCCATCCACCACTTATTCGAATAAGGTGCATGTAGGATATTTATGGACCCGACCCACAACCCATCAATCACCTATCTATAACAATGTGTGTTTCTTTTTTTTTTTTTTTTTTTTTGCATATAAATCGGTCTCAAACTACATTTTGACCAAGCACTTGACCAACCTTGTCGATAAATGTCTTTATAAGGTCAACTCAACGTTGTTCATCACCGCTCCATAATAGACATTGAATTTGGACAAAAAAATATGCATATTAAAATTTCATCAGATATGGAATTGTGGAGTTGTGAACCTTTCTTGTTGGATATTCCTTTTCGGACACTCATCCATTAGTCCGAGGTATTTAGCGTAAACCATTAAAAAGAGAACTAACATGACACAACCAATTAATAAAAACAGATTCACACTTGTGATGTTAACCCTAAGCTATCAAGCTTAAGATTTCCAAGTGGATTGTTAACTGAATTAACGCTATAAACTAAACTCCAAATATAGAATCCCGATTAATATGATATTTAATTAACATGTATAATTATTGTGGAAAGGGTCGGTTCGATCATCTTAAACCATACTCTTCTAACTAACAAGCTATTAGCTTAATAGATTATAATCAGAAGGCGAGTTTCATGCCTGCTCTTCATATAAAACGACACAGATACCTAGATACAAGAAGAAAAGAGCAAATTGTATAAGAAACTCTTCTGCGAAGCCATAAATCGGAACGAAAGGACTAACTTGAATTGTCGTAACTAAGAGGCTAAAGTCTAATAAAATACTTTAATTTCTAAATTTGTTCAAAATTTACATGTAATATTACCTATTTCTCAAAGTTGGAGGGTGAGCTACATCCCATACTAATTTCAACTAACTCCACCACCAATAGTAACTTTCTGTCTGTTTAACCGTTAGTTGACACTTCAAAAAAGTTTGAAGTACGACACTTCATCAATATCCATCGGTATCTTCTCTGAAAAACCACCAACATATCGTAGTTCCAAACCCGAGAAGTCCATGACTCCAACATGATGGTATAAAATATCTAAATATTCAGTCATCTGCAATGCCAAAACAAGAAACAAAGTTGTATTGTGACAATTTCTCCTAAACAAAGCTTTTTTGAAGTGTCAACTAACGGTCAAAAGAACGGAAAGTTGACGATTTGGATATTAGATTGTTTTCGAAAAGGTTTGGCTATTATATTGTTTAAAATGAAAGGTTTGGATATTAAATTGTATTTAGATTTGGAAAGACAAAAGATGATGCATGCGTTGCTCCCTTGTCCGGCGACCAAAACAACACACCGCCACCCCACCGACAGACCAAGTCGGTCGGTCGTCGTTGATCGTCGACGATGATCCAAGAGAGATATAGAGATAAAAAAGAAAATATTTCATTTGTGTGCCACCCATGTTTGCTGCACGTGCAACTGTGGCTTATACATGCCTATAGATATATTGGGGGCTTTAATCTTATAGGATTGGGCATATTTGGGTTTTTTTTTTAATTACCCTGTATTCAGAAATGAAGGGAAAATAGAAGGGATTTATTTATAATTATGAACCGGAATAATAGACACGCAATGCAAAAATACCAAGATAGAAAAGAAAGTAAGGAACATATAGACAATGTAGTTGTAATCGCGTTTTAAAATCTAAAATTATAACGTTTTCACACTTTCGGATCACCAAAGCGCTTTTACGACGTAGAGTCACACTTTTTCCTATACAATTTTAGTCAAAGTCTAGGCTTTGAAGTTTAAAATCTTATGTTTTTACGTTGTT